ATTAAGGGCTCTAAAATGTTTGCATTGTATTTTGAATAGTCAAGCATTAGATAACATGATGGTCTTTTCCATTCTTATTTAAGCTTGCTGAGCTCCTTTTGTATCGTGACTTCCTAACAAAGGACAGAATCTGGCTGTGTTGGCAACCTACGCAAGGGCTTATTTTTATAGCCTCTGGGAGATGGTGAATTCTGTAACAGTTGTAATGAATAGGGAGCAATAAATAGGTACAATAATTACTGGAGCTGGAAGAAACTTGGAAGACAGTGAATAGAGGGAGCCCTAGGTATATTTCTCATGTGTGTCATATGGTATCTGTACCATTTTCAGTTATACTGCATATTCAGAGTCAGGCTCTGATTGAAGGTCTAGAGAATTTTGACTGGACCCAAGGCAAGTGGTTTGGTTGTACCACCAATTTTTGCAAGTGTGAGATTAGTGTTTTTTAAAAACTGTCAACTTTGGATAGGAGAGATGGTTCAGTGGCTAAGAGCACTATCTGCTTTTTTGGAGGACCTGGATTCAGTTCCTAGCACCCATATAGCATCTCACAAACTATCTGTAACTGCAGTTCCAGGGATTGAACACCTGGTCTTCATAGGCACCACGAACACACATAATACACAGACATATATGTGGGTACCCATATACATACATAACTTTTTAAAGTAATGAATGAATGTTTTTAAGTTGTGTCACCTTTTTGTTTTCATCCCATACTTTAGAAATCGCATTCCCCACATCTGAAAGGAAGTGATGTGTAGAATGTATGATGCTTTAAAATACCTTTTCTGATGCTCACATGAAAGAGTTAATAAAAATATAATTACTCTTGGTATTCAAGTTCTGTGATAGCAGTTGTCTGTAAGAAATATATGTTATAGCTAGCTCCCCATAATCTGTCAATGAAAACTACTAGGTTTTGATTTGTGCTTTACAAGGAAAGCCATCTGATGGTTATGGAGCCTTCTGCACTGAAAGTGGAAGATGTTAATCTTTAACTTCACAAGTATTCATGAAAAGCTGTGCCAGTTGTACAGTTTCAGGACTTTCTTCTCAAATGGTACCAGTTAGGCCAAGGAAGACTCTGAAAATAGGAAGGGTAAGCAGGTGTTCATGTTAACAGAACTTTGCTTGAGCTCATTTCTTAATTGCCATGCAATAAAATTGTATTATCAAGAAACCAATCTAGCCTATTGTGGTCACACCTATACCAGCATTCAGAAGGCTAAGATGGGAGGCTAGCCTGAGATACATATGAGTTGTATATTGAGACTGTCTCAAAACAGAAAGATGGGGTGGGTGGGAAAAAAATGACAAGAAACTTACAAAATTGGTGAGATGCCTTAGGTATTTGTCACTAAGCCTGACAACCTGAGTTTGGTCCCCAGGACTCACAAGGTGGAAGGAAAGAACCAGTTCCTACAAGTGGTCCTCTGACGTCCATATGCACAATGCAGCGCATGTGCAGCCATCTCCAGACACAAAAAAATCAATGTAATAAAGCAAACACAGCCCAGTAGTGCTCTATCAGTTCCCCTCAATGATGATAAAATACCACAATTAGGATAATGATGTTGTCATCACCAACAGATCTTACTCAGAGTTCTGTAGTTTTACTTGTATGTTTGTATTTCATTCTAGTTTTTATTTTTTTGTTTTTTGGTTTTTTATTTTTAAAAAAAACTTTTTTTACATTTCACATACCAATCCCAGTTCCCCCTCCCTCCCTTTCTCCTGTCCCTCCCTATCCACTATATCACCCCCTCCATCCACTCCTCAAAGGAGATAAGACCTCCCTTGGGGGAGTCAACAAAGTGTAGCATACCAAGTTGAGGCAGGACCAAGCCCCTTCCCTTGTATCAAGGCTAAACAATGAGCAAGGTAGTCATTCTAGTTTTTACTTGTATATTTGTATTTCATTATGTATAGTTTTTTGTTGTTGTTGTTGCTTGTGGTACTGAGGATGGAACCTAGATCTCATGTACGTTACACAAGCATTTCAACGCTAAGTGACACCCCAAAACTGCAGGGGTTTTTAATCTATCACTATAGTCAATATATTTAATATTTCTGGACAGGTGAGATGGATCAGTGGGTAAAGGTGTTTGCCGCGTAAGCCTGATGATCTAAGTTTGATATCTGGAACCCACATGAAAGTGGAAGGAGACAATGACTCCAGAGTTGTTCTCTGACCACCACATGTAGCAGGTACCATGGTGTGTGCAGTCAGCCATAAACAATTGGAATACATTTTTTTAAGAAGACCTTTAGTATTCCCAGTTCTTTTAAAATAATTAGCACCCCCACACACACACTCACTGTGACCTATATCTGTGGTTTGTTTTCTTTCTGTTGCTATGTAGTTTTTCTAATATTTTTGTACCAGAGTATTAACCAGTGTTCACCTTTTGAAAGATATCTGGGCAGATTACAGTTAAGCCTAAGATATTGTGAGTATTCATATGCAACTTTTTATATGAATGTTAAATTTTCATTTCTTTGGGGTAAATGCCCCAAAGTACAGTTGCTAGGTCATGTGATAATTAATGTTTGGTTTTGTTAGAAACTGCCAAATTGTTTTCTAGAGGAACTATCATGTTGTAGTCCCACCAGCAATGTCTGAGAGATCCAGTTTCTCTGCATTCTTGCCAGCATTTGGTGATAGGTCAGTGGTGTCTTTCATTTGCATTTCCCTGGTACCTAGTGGTATTAAACATCCTTCTATGTACTCATTTGCAATCTGTCTATACTTGGTGTGTGTGTACATATATACATGTACATTTATGTGTGTGGGTGAATGAACCCACAGAAGCCAGGGTGGGATGTCAAGTGTCAGCTTTAGTTGTTCTTTAGTTATTTTTTGAGACAGGGTCTGTCACTGAACCCAAAGCCCACCATTTTGGCTAGGTTGGCTGGCCAACAAGCTGTGGTATCCACCCATCTGCCCCTCAGTTCTGGGGTTACTGACATTTGTGACCATGCCCAGCTTTTACATAGTTGCTGGGGATTTGAATGTGGGGCTTCCTGTTTGTTTATACAGCAAGTGCTCTTTTACCCACTGAGCCATCTTCCCAGCTTCTCTTAGTCTTTGAAAATTTGATTTTGTTCCTCTTGGGTTTGGAACTAACAACTTCATGTCAACTACATGGTACACATTTTCTCCCAGTGTGTAAAGTCTGTAGTTTGTCCTTTTTTGTAGAATCTTTTAAAGCTGACAAGGCTTTAATTTTGATTAGGTCCATTTTACCATTGTTTTCCTTTTTAAAGATTTACTTATGTGTATGCATGTTTAGCTTGCCTGTATGTGTGTATCATGTGCATCCTGGAAGTTCTGAAGTTAAAGATGGTTGTGAACTGGCTCTGAAGTTATGAGCACTTGTTAGCTGCCAAGTGGGTGCTATCAATTGAACCTGGGTCCTCTATAAGAAGAACTACAAGTAATCTTAAATGTTGAGCTGTCTCTCTAGCCCACAGTTTATTTTATAGATCATGCTTCAAGTGTCAATTCTAAGAACTGCTTGCATAGCCTAGAACCTGAAAGTATTCTCCTACTTTTTTAAATGAAAGTTGCATAGTTTTATACTTGATGCTTTTGTAAAGTGAGGGTTAGGTTTATCTTCCTGGTTTTTACATATAGGTGCTAATGGTTGCAGAGACTCTTCCTCTGTGGCATTTGTGCCTTTGTCAACTACCAGATTTAAAATATTTATGTGAGTCCATTTCTAGCTTCTTCTCTGTCTACACCTCACCAATAGACTTCTTGTGGCAATCATTTTTTCCTTAACTGGCTGTAATGCTTTTGTAAATGATTTACTTGGGGCTGGAGAGATGGTGTTCTTAAGAAGCACACACATCAGGCAGCTTGCACCTGTAATTCTGGTTTTAAGAGATCTGATGCCTACGGCCTCCCATGGTGCCTGCACTCCTGTGTGCACACTTCCCCAGTGAGTACACACAACTAAAACTAAATCTTTAAAACAGATTTTCTTTGCCAATACTTTGGTGGTTTTGAGATAATTTCAACAGGAAAATTCAGGACAAATACTTGCTTTCTCCCTTTACTATTGACTTGTTTAGAGACAAATCAGTTGATTCCATCCATTCACAAAAGGAGATCAGTAATGAGTTTGTAAGGATGATAAACATAGATTTTAAACATATTTGTTATATTTTAACTCATGCTAGCTATCATTATTATTATTGATACTCAAATTAGCTCATGTTTTGCCAGGAGTTTATTCTGATAGGCTTCTGAGTCCACTTGGCACAACTTCTATAACCTTTGACTGCTTCTTTGTAAGAAGGCCCAAGATCTCCCAGGCTTTTCTTAGACATTTCCTGCCCCGGACTTGAATGCATTTCTCTGAGAAACATGATTTTAGCAACCCAGCTGTCCTTAACACTCAGTATTTTGGTAAAGATATAAATGTATTTGTTTACATGTAATACATATATGAAAGAGGAAAATCATGAGTATATACTTAAATATTCAATTCATATGTTAAAAATAAGGTTTTGGCTAGAAATTATACCTATATGTCTTTTAAAATATGTGTTATGTTTGTGGCTGGGTTTTTTGTTTTCGTTTTTTGCCTACATAAATATCTGTGCACAACATGCATGCCTGTTGCGCATAGAGGCTAGAAGAGTATTACATTGTACACTGTGAAATGGGAGTTATAGACAGTTGTAAATAGCCATGTGAGTGCTTGAAATCAAACCGGGGTTCTCTTGAAGAGCATCCAGTGCTCTTAACTGATTAACTATCTCTTCAGCACCTATATTTGTATATTTTATGGAGAAAACCTTGCTCTTGATGCCTAATGAGTAACTTAACTACTCATTCTATAGGTAAATGTTTTAGGTCTGATTCTTTGTTTATCAAAATGCCCTGCTGGTAAGTCCTGTGGGAGCAATGATAAAAGACTGTCTCATTTAGAACATTTATAAAAAGTATACCCATGCCTGTTTTAATTGTATATTATATTAATTTATAGATACAGCCCACGCTTAATGGAAAAAATTCTTCAGATGGCCGAAGGTATTGATATTGGAGAGATGCCATCATATGATCTGATGCTGCCCAAACCTTCCAAAGGTCAAAAACGCTACCTTTCAGCCTACGATGGTGAGTATAACTTGTTTCTGGGAGGTGGGATTTGAAGAAATGTGGCTTCTTAAAATGATATGAGTGTGGCGTGTGGCTTCAAATAACACTGATAGCATTGTATTCTATGCAAAGATAAATGTTTTTTTGAATTTGGTTTTGAGACAGAGCCTCTCTGTGTAGCCCTGGCTGTCTTTGAACCCACTCGGTAGACTCGAATGGCCTAGAGTTCACAGGTACCCACCTACATCTGCCTCCCAAGTCCTGAGATTAAAGGTGTATGCCTCCATGCCTGACACAGATAAATGGTTTCTAACTTTACATACAATTTTTTGAGTATGCTAAAAAGAGCTGAAAGTACAGAATTCCCACTATAATGCTATCCTTGAAGTCTATGCTGTGGAACCTTCCTCTAAATAGAAGAGTTTCATTCTGAGATCATCTGTGCATCTGAGTAATTAGATATTCTTGGATAGGTCCAGACGGACCAGCTTTCTACAGAGGGGTGCTATAGGGAAGAAGCACTAGTTTCTGGGATAGCCCTAGTAATAGTTCTCTGTGGCTTCAAATGTGGTAACCCCCAATAATCATTAGTTCCAGTTGTTATCTGTTCCAGAAGTAAAGGTAGCAGCCTTTTGTGCAGGACAAGTCAGAATCAAGGTTTTGGTTGAAAACTGTTTATTTTTGATACTATAGTTACAATTATGTAAAGCACTACCATAGAGGCACTCATCTCTGATACAAAAGAAAAAGGTTTAGTAAGTACATCTGGTCATCCATCATTTCTGTTTCGTTAGAATCATCTGGAGTTCTTCCAGGAACCTTTAAGCACAGGTGGTAAGAGATTGTCCTAGCATATCCTTTTGGTACAGGTGAAGAGTTCATGTCACCTGTGTTTTAGCTCACTTGTTGTAATTTCATCTCCTAGTCGGGCATGGCAGCAGCCTGCATACTTGAGTTGATGAACTGTTTCCTATTAAGAGTCTTTCCTTATGCATGGAGAGAGAGGAAGCGTCGCCCCTTATGGTAGAGTCTTAGGGCAATATGAATCCCTTCACCCAAGTGATTGGGACAGACCTTGTACCAACAGTGCAGCTTTCAGATAATACAGTTGGTACTGTTTTCCTGCTTGGTTCTTTTGAAATATTCCCATTTTAATGAATTGTAAATTTCACTCATTCTATAGGTCAAAATCCTCCTAAAAAGCAAGCTGGTTCCAAATTCCATGTGAGACCTCGTTTTGAGCCTGTACATTTTGTAGCTAGTAGTTCAAAAGCTGAAAGACAGGAAGATCCTTATGGCCCTCAAACAAAAGAGGTAAATGGACGAACACATTTTGTCAGCATGCCAAGAAACTTCTACCAAGATTATACTCAAGACTCTTTCAGTATACAAGATGGGAATTCTCAGTATTGTAATTCATCAGGATTTATTTTCACAAAAGAGCAGCCTGTAACAACCAACATGTATTATGACAGTAGGAATCCTGCCCCAAGCAGCACATCCCAACAGGCAAACTGTCAGCCACCTCCAGAGCCTTCTTCTTCACAGATGTATCCTGAGTCGGTGGTTGCTGAAAAACAGTATTTTATTGAAAAGTTAACAGCAACTATCTGGAAGAATCTTTCTAATCCAGAGATGACGTCTGGATCTGATAAAATTAATTATACCTATATGCTAACTCGTTGTATTCAGGCATGTAAGACAAACCCTGAGTATATATATGCTCCTCTAAAAGAAATTCCTCCTGCTGATATCCCCAAAAATAAAAAACTTCTCACAGATGGTTATGCTTGTGAAGTTAGATGCCAAAATATCTATCTAACTACAGGTTATGCAGGGAGCAAGAATGGGTCTAGGGATCGAGCTACTGAGCTAGCTGTGAAACTCTTACAGAAGCGGATTGAGGTTAGAGTTGTCCGGCGGAAATTCAAGCACATAATTGGAGAGGACCTTGTAGTGTGTCAGATTGGCATGCTTTCGTATGAATTTCCCCCAGCTCTGAAGGCACCAGAAGACCTGGTAGTACTAAGAAAGGATGCTTCAGGGCAGCCTATTTTTAATAGTTCTGCCAAACACTGGACCAATTTTGTCATTACAGAAAATGCAAACGATTCAATTGGCATCCTTAACAATTCTGCCTCATTCAACAAAATGTCAATTGAGTACAAGTACGAGATGATGCCAAATCGTACATGGCGGTGTCGAGTATTCTTACAAGATCACTGCTTAGCTGAAGGTTTTGGAACCAAGAAAACAAGCAAGCATGCAGCTGCTGATGAGGCTTTGAAGGTTCTTCAAAAAACACAACCCACTTACCCATCTGTCAAAAGTTCCCAGTGCAACTCGGGCTCTTCACCTAAAGGATCTGGAAAGAAGAAAGATATAAAAGATCTTGTAGTTTATGAAAATTCTTCCAATCCTGTGTGCACATTGAATGACACAGCTCAGTTTAACCGAATGACAGTTGAATATGTCTATGAAAGGATGACAGGACTCCGCTGGAAATGCAAAGTGATTCTAGAAAGTGAAGTCATTGCAGAAGCAGTTGGGGTGAAGAAAAGTGTCAAATATGAAGCTGCCGGAGAAGCTGTGAAAACCCTCAAAAAGACCCAACCAACTGTCATTAATAACCTGAAGAAAGGGACTGTTGAAGATGTGATTTCAAGAAATGAAATTCAGGGTCGCTCAGCAGAAGAAGCTTATAAACAGCAAATCAAAGAAGATAACATAGGAAATCAACTGCTGAGGAAGATGGGTTGGACAGGTGGTGGTTTAGGTAAATCTGGTGAGGGCATACGGGAGCCTATCTCAGTCAAAGAGCAGCATAAAAGAGAAGGACTGGGACTAGATGTAGAGAGGGTCAATAAAATTGCTAAGAGAGACATAGAACAGATCATCAGAAACTACGCCCGCTCTGAGAGCCACTCAGATTTGACCTTCTCCACAGAGCTGACCAATGATGAACGGAAGCAAATACATCAGATTGCTCAGAAGTATGGCCTGAAGAGTAAGTCTCATGGGGTGGGCCATGATAGGTACCTGGTGGTGGGTAGAAAACGGCGGAAGGAAGACCTACTAGATCAACTCAAACAGGAAGGCCAAGTGGGACACTATGAGCTTGTCATGCCCCAAGCAAATTAAGATTTTACAAAGTTATCTTGTAAATGCCACATGAGGCACATCTACCAATAAAAAAAGCTACATATTCTGGTTGAGGAGTATTCATTCTTAAAATGTTTCACCTTGTTCGTTTCATATAGTGCTTTATTAGGTATTGGAACCTGGAGAATTCTGTCCACTTGTATTAGCTTAACCCAGCAGATGAATTGTGCAGTTACTGTTTGTGTCTTTCATATTGCTGTCTCTCAGATTATAGTATGTGTAAACAAAAACACCCATCTAAGTGCAATTTCATCCTGAGGAAAATAATTCACATTATAAAAGGCACAGCAATCTGCAACAATATATGAAGTCAGTGCTGACTCTTAATTAAATTACAGCTAATTCCAGATTTACTTAAAATGTCAGGTCATTTTGTATTACCAATTTTCATCTTTGTGTGAAGCCAGTTATAGAACGTTTAACAATAAATTGTGTTGTATATGTAAATGTCCTTACCAACTAAATGATGTAAAACTTTCTTAAAAGTAATTTTAGTGTGTGTTTATTTATAACTTCTACCCTGTGATTTCCAGGATATTAGAAGTGATTTATTGTATCTTGTGGTATATGACTTTTAACAAATTCTAGTCTTCATGCTGAGAGAGCACTACTTGAGAGAGATGCCAAAAAGTTTCCAAAAAGCCTTGATTCAATCAGAAGAAAGGAAGCTTGAACTGTTTGTTCTTGGTGCCTTGCAGAGAGACTCAGAGCAACTCTCCATTGTAGCTTTCACACGATCTGTGCACCACATCCAAGGCAACCACAGTTGTGGTAGAGCCTGATAAAAGACTGAAGATACATTGGTGCTTTGATGAAAAGGTCAGTTGGCTGGTCCCTCTCTCAGAAAGCTTATTACTCCCCAAAGCCAACTTTGTAACATACTTAAAACTGCTATTTTCACTTATTTCTGGAATGTAAAAATGTATAAAAATAAAAGAGTTAGTGTATTCTTCCTGAATAAAAAGGAGCCAAAGTTGATGAAAATGGTGGTGTGCTTCTTTCTGGAGAGCAGCCTAGTAGCAACACTTTGGGTCTTTGGACAAAGAAAGTGATGGTTGCACAAAATATTTCAGTCAGAGCACACATGGATAGATGTAATGATTTATCAACTGTCCCTCATCACGTTTGTTTTCTTGTTTAGGTTTTTTTTCTTGTATGCCAGTATTCTAGTTTATTAAATCTTTGGTTGTTTACTTTTATGTGGTTTTACTATATCTTATATGAATCAAGTAAAGCCTTGCAATAGGACAGATGAATATTATTGATGGTTAAACAACTCCAGAGAAATGATGGTAAGGACTCAAAGGTTGTTTGCAGTGACCTTTAAAACAGATTTTATTTTTTTATAATGTGTCTGTGGGGGGTGGTATATGCATGTGAATGCATATGCCCTTGGAGGCCAGAGGTGTCAGAGCTGGCAATACAGGCACTTGTGAGCCTCCTGACATGGGTGCTAGGGACTGACTCTGGTCCTCTGGAAGAGCAGTGTGTGCTCTCAACTTTAAGCTATCTTTAGCCTCCATTTGTAGTGTTCATGCTGGCCCACAATACATAATAAATTCCTTTTTTGCCTCCCTACTCCTTTTTCTATTTTATGCTAAATGTGTATATAAAAATACAGATTAGCTTTTATACATAGACCTCTTACATGCGCCTGCATTGGATAGCACAGTACAGCATCAGCTTTCCACTCTTTTTTTCCATACCATAGTGTATATACTTCATTAGTTTTGGTTGAAGAGATGTACATTTTAGTTTGGTGTGTAATACTTTAGCAAATACAGAGAACTATGGTAGAACCTTCATAGATTTTATGATTATAATTATTTTTTTACCTGCAAAATTCACTCTCATCTGGGAAAGTTGTGGTACGGGTACTTAGAACACTGTCTTTGATTCTCTGAGTGACAAGAGATGGTTTTTAGAGATTATAAGATACAAATACTTGGTTTGCTTCTCTCTTACATGTCTTCCAAAATGATTTTTTTTGTTTAGAAATAGTCACTTTACATATCAATGTCCCCTCTCCCTCCTCTCCCCATGCCCTCTACCAACCCCTCCCAACACACTCTCCATCCACTTCCCAAGGATAGTGAGGCCTTCCATGAGGGATCATCAAAGTGTCACATTATTTGGGGCAGGGCCTAGACCCTCCTCTGTATATCTGGGCTGAGAGAGTATCCCTCCATAGGGAATGGCCTCCCAAAGTCCTTTTGTGCACTAGGGTTAAATACTGGTTCCACTGTTAGAGGTCCCATAGACTGCCCAGGCCTCTTAACTGACACTACATTCAGAGGGCTTGATTCAGTCCAATGCTGGTTCCCCTGTTTTATGACTGGGGTCCCTGTGCTCTCACAAGGTCAGTTCGCTGCCTCTGTAGGTTTCTCCAGCATGGTGTTGACTCCTTTGCTCACCACTCCTCCCTCTCTACAACTGGATTCCAGGAGTGTGGCTCAGAGCTTAGCTGTGGGTGTCTGCTTCTGCTTCCATCAGCTACTGGATAAAAGCTTTAAGGTAGTCATCAATCTCATTATAGGGGAAGGGCATCAAATTCAGCCTCTCCACTACTGCCTAGGTTCTTAGTTGGGGTCTTCTTTGGGTATCTCTGAACATTTCCCTAGTGCCTGGCTCCCCCTATTAAGGTATCTTTTCTTGTTTGTTTTTGGGGGAAATGGTAGGAAATCAAAGGTCAGATTTGTTTATAAAAGCTTAATGGAACAGATTAGTTACAGTTAAAGCTCTGTGATAATTGGGTAAAGAATATAGGAATTGGGTTCCTGATTTTGGTGAGCCAGATAACTTAATAGAGCAGCTTTAGTATTAGTGTGGAATAGGCATAGTCCCTAACTACTTGAGAATAATGTGGGGACATCAGATTGACAGGAATGAGCTGCTGACAACCTTGCTGTTGCATTTTCCAGTTTTCTCTTTATTTGACCTTGCATTTTCCTTTTCTTAGAAATAAAAGTCATTTTTAGCCCAGAACTTTGCTATAAAACTGGACAGAATGAGTGCTTCCAAGTTTTATTTGTATTGAATATGATAAGCTGAAAACGGTATGTGCATATGTGCTTGTGATCTCAGAGCCACTTTTTAACACACACCTCCCATCCTTGATTGCAAAAGTGAATGGAAATATCTATCATACATATCATTGGGGTTCTTTTTTTCTGTATTTCTTTTCTAGTAGTATTCAATGTGTTTACTTTGCTATGAGTAATCCTTGAAGTGGGTCCTAAATAAAGGACTCTAATTACAACTTTGGTTCTTCAGCATACCCCTTTCCTCACATAAGCAGATGCAGAATTGAACATTTGGATTCAAAAGGCACCTTGCAAATCTGCTTTAATGTTCTTGTAATTACTTGCAGACAAAGCAAGCTGTGTTAAAAATTGTAAAGAAGAAAAAAGGGTAATATGTATGAAATGTTCCAATGAGTGTCTAGGTAGCTTTGGCTATGTCTATGTCAGCTTCAATTGTTAAGGTTGTAAAAGGATTATCCCATGAGAAATTGGAGATGGTATTTCTCAGGAGGTGTACAAAATAAAATGTTACTAAATCGGCCTGTTACCAGTCTCATCCTAAATTGTTCAAATATTAACAGTATCAATATTTCAGGTGCCCAGCCAAAACAGGGTGGGAAAAGGTTAATTTAGACATTAAACAAAATATTTGATGGGGTTCTATTTTGAAATAGAAATGGACTTGAAAGGGAAATACTAAGTGTATTTGAGGACATCACTCCTAAGTGGAACAATGCAATTAATGTGGTATTTAATAGTATAGATTGAACTCTCCCACAATGAGTTTTAAGTACCCTTCGAGGATAACTGGGGTGCATGAATCTTTACTTTCCAACAATTAACAAGACACAGCATGTCATTGTCATAGTCTTATTAAAATAAGATAGGTTTCTCCTCAGAAGAGAGCTTACTTGCATTTCAACATGATGTCAGAGGATACTTTTACTCTCGAGCTAACACATAATTTAAACATTTACATAAATTTTGTAGTATTTTGGGTTTATTCATTTTATGCATGTGTTGTGTGCCTGAGTGCACGTTTGTGCATCATCTGAGTGCCAGAAGAGGCCATCACATTCCCTTAGCATTGGAGTTAACAGCAGTTGTGAGCACCCCAGTGTGGGTCCTATGAACTCAGAGTCCTCTGGAAAAAGAGCAAGCGTTCTTAACCACTGAGCTTTCTCTCTCAAATTGTCTCCTACCTCCCCATTATTTTCCTTTGAGATGGAGTCTCATTGTGTTACTGCCTGGCCTGGAACTTGCTCTGTTGACCAGACTGGCCTCAAACTTGTGAGATCCACCTGCCTCTGCTCTGCCTCTGCCTCCCAGATGCTGGAATTTTAGGCCTATACAAACACACCCCTCTAAGCTAGAGGATTTTTAAGAGGTGGATTGTCAAGATAAATTAAAGTGTGTCTCTGAGGATACTGGTAAAATACCTACCATTTCATTAACACTGACTGGAAAATTGGGAAAAAGGTTTACTAACAGTACTGTCTATTTCCAGAAAGCAGGTGTTTTTTTTTTTTTTTTTTTTTTTTTTTGCTTTTGTTGTACTTATTTTTAAAAGGGAAGATAGGTAGATAGGAAATCCCTAAAAATGTTAATAAAAGTGTGAACTAAATTTTAAGGTGATTTTTTATTTACAACTTTTGAAAATGTACAGTTTTTACATGGGTTACTTGTGCAAAGTTAGAAGTGTTATAAATGCATCAGATTAACAATTAAAATATATTAGACAAAACATTTACAAGCCTTGACCCATACTGTATATTTAAAAGTGTAAATATTCAAAGAAAAATTGCAGATGTAGGCATTAAAATTCTCAAAACACTGAAAGCATGCAGCAATAACTCAGGATTCAAATGAAAAAATTTTGCTAGAGATAGGCTCACTTCCTTGAATCATAAAAAGAAAAGTTTATTTAGAGCAACACTGTTCCTTTAAAAATATTAAGAGGATCTTCAGTTTTTCCTAACTTAGAAAAATGATAGCTTCCAGTCTATTCTCACACCTCTTTAAAATGCACAAAGTTCTGAAGGCCAGGTTTCTGAAATATGAGTTTGCACTATGACTATCTTGCAAAAAGTGGAGTATGTCAGTTATTAAAATTGCTTCAGTTTGTTATCTGGGTCCTTTAGCAGTCTCCTTGCTACCAATAAGTGCCATCTTGTAATTCATGTTGCTTACAAATTGAGTATAGGATTTTTCAGTTTTGCAATAATGTTTACATGGATGCATGCCTGTTTTCTTTAGGTCTCATTCTAAATACATTGTTTGCCAAATTGAACACAAGGGAGGAACTGGTCAGGATGAAACACAGCAATCATTTTGTTACAAATAACGTCCTGGTTACGTGGCTATACATAACAATTCTTCTTAAAAGCATACTATAAAAAAGTACAGTAACCTGATAACTGCTTGGAGGCTGGAGGTTGGACATGAGATTCAACAAAGGGACATATGTAGTAGTAATGTTTGCAAGTAACCCAGGTACAGTACATTGGATTTCAAATGGTATCTGATGTTCCATAGGAGGACAGAAAGGGGAAGAAAAACTTGGCAAGGGAAAACAGAAACAGCACAACAGCTATTTTGTTTTTAATAAAGTAAATGTAATGAATTAGGAATAAGAAGTTGATAAATGCATCAATATACATTTTTCTTATGGCCAGCCTCTTCATTTGCTCTATCCTGAGTCAACAGTCACGCCAGCTTTGTTCTACTATTGCAGAAACACGCTTTTCATATTCCCGCTTGTTCTCCTGATACAGCTGGGCAGCCTGGCTGTTTGCTGGACTATTGGGATTAGGCTCATCCAATAGAGACTACAGAGAAAAGATAAAAATGTCAGTTCTTTAATGCAACAAGACAAAAAAAATTGTTGAGAACAAACTGCTATTTTATCAGTTAGTGTCAGTACAGCTGTCCCAAATAATAGTTAATTTTTCTATCTTCCACACACTAAGTTAAAGTAACTGTAAATAGCTCACACAAATATACATGCACATACTCATATTTCCTGGTGACTTGTATTTTAATGGTTAACTGCCTTATAAAACAAACTTGGTCCCACAATTTAAAAGGTCAAAATAATCATTAATGTAATAACATAAATTATCATAATCACATTAAAGAGAAAAATAATCACCTGTATGGATGTTAAAATGGAAGACACATCATAGGTTGGGCTCCAGCGGTTCTGAAGTATATCCAGACATATACTACCATCTGCGTAGACTTAAGAACACAGAAATAGGTATGTTAAACACAAGACTACTAAAATTTAAGCATGTTCAAGACAGAAATGCTCAAGAATGCTTTTGAAGTTTGAGAGTTTCCTAGTTAGGTGTCATAATCAGTACTAGGGGGAAATACAGTGATCAGTAAATAACCTGGTATAAAACTGGAAGGCAGTGCTTATTCGGAAGAGACTGTCTTCCTGTTCAGAATGTCATACATAATTTCAGTGGGTATCCTTCCATAGAGTTGTAGGAAATTCAGCCCACCAAATCGGAAAGCTATATCTCCTATTTGTAATAGTAACAGCTTAACATTCACAAAGTTTTATTTTGACAAAGATGAAAGTCTTAACACCATGAAAAAATATCATGATTAGAAAAAAGTAAAAGACAGAATCCTAGAGACTGGTAACAGCACTTTTCTAACAAACTGTGCTACATCCTTTACAGACTCTTGTGTTTAGTGGGTCTAGGGTGGGACCACAGAATCTCTGTATTCAAAATGTTCCATGGTAATTCAGATTTGCACCTGAAGTTGGAAAATACCTTTCTGAGTGCTAGTGAAAATAATTACAATACAGTTACCCTAATTTAGCCTGTCATTAAACAGAACCCCCAAAAGCATTCTTATTTTTGCTTAGTAAGTAACAAAAGTCATAAAGTCAGAAGACTGTTAAGACTCCAAGCAAAGGATGGTACCATCCTCTTGCGTTTCTAAGACTATAGATTGAGACAGTAAAAGAACATGAACAAATTCCAATTTCCAGAGACAGGAAGATACCTAAACAGAATACTCACAAGTACTTCACATAAACAACAACGACATTTGGAACACCACTGTAAAAAGCATTGTAGGACCTTACAAAAACAAGTTTAAAATATTTGCCATCAAAAAAAGACCACCACCAAAAACAACAAACAGCAGTAAAAGCAGGCACTGGCAGCACACGCCTTTAATCCCAGCACTCAGGAGGCAGAAGCAGGTGAATCTCTATGAGTTTGAGGCCAGCCTGATTTACAAAATGAATTCTAGGACAGGCTTCAAAGCAATACAGAGAAACCCTGTCTGGGAAAAAAAAAAAAAAAAAAAAAAAAAAAAAAAAAAACCAAAATAAATAAATAAATAAATGGATGGGTGGATGGATGGATAGATAAATAGAAAAAAATACTTGCCATTAGGATGGAACATCTTAGAGACAAATCTAACAGTAGGTGGTTTATTCGGATATTCTTCAGTAAATTCAATTGTAAGTTTAAATGTTCCTGTAGTTAAAAAGGGGGGGTAGGAAATTTTATTTATCACTTTGTTTTTTTCATATGTACTTGAGGTTTTTTTTTCAATTATTAAATGAGAAAACGTGAAGACAGAGATATAGTATAGAGAGGAGAGTAGTTAAGAAACACATCTCTCAGAACTGTTCCAAGAACAACACTCAAAGGTGATTTAGTTATTTTTCCCATTATTCTCCAAACATAAAGACAATCACCATAAACAAAATTGCTATTTGCTGTATGATAGTCACTATGCACTTTGAAAATATCCTTCAAATGACAAGGTACCAAGCCCCAAATTTGACCTTCCTTTAGACTAAAAAGAACTCTGACTAGTGATACAGTTCAGTGGGAGAGCACTTGCCTAGCATTCAGTGGATCCTAGTTTTAACCTCCAGTACCCCTCAAAACCTCAAAGTCCTACTGCAATCAGCCATTACCTTAAAATTCTCTAATAGTCTCCAGTAGACTAAGACAAAAAGTTCCAAAACCATTGCTAGAAATGCAAATCCATAATTGAGTTAATAAATTGGAACACAGAAAAAAAACTTTTATTCGTTTCTTTTCAAGTAATGATGATGATGAAAACTTAATTGAACTTAAGCCAGAACAAACTTCACAGTGCCTCTCAAAACCCTTAAGTCTGACTCATACATTACTATAGTAAAGCATCAATGCAATCATTCACACTAATGGAGGGAATAACAAAAGTAATTTTAAATTCTATTTGGTTTAGATTGCATTAACGATTCCTGTAAATTTCTCTTAATGACACTTGTTTAGGTTACTAGTATTAAAAAGATATGATTTTTAAAAATATGTGCCAACCTAAGGTTAGCTGGTGGCCCTAAAACATGCTAAGTTATAGGCATTGTGAGTGTCATTCAAGAATTGTAAACAGTTGTGATGTGGAGAGTACATCCTTTGAAATGTGATTTTTAATTGTGCTTCTTAGATTTAAGAAAGCAATTGGACATTTTTACTGACTGAAATTGCTTTAAGCAAACTCAAGAATCAGTACAGAGCCTCATGAAATGGCCAAGTGCTTGCCAAGCAGCATGTCTGGAAACTAGATAAGGGTAAAAAGAACAAGTTACAAGAAGTTGCCTTCAGATTTCCACCCTGGCATGCATATAAATCTGTCACAATATAAATGAATCAAGTAATATCTGGTTAGTATGCATGTGCATTAGTATGGCCCATTTAATACATTGCTAGTTGATGTGAAGTAGTGTACATCTTAGAGTAAAACTTATTACTAATTCCTCTTTAGACCTACCAATTTATTCCTTTTGGCTCTCATTAATATGTTTATTCCTACTTAAGAGAAAATACTACAACCTTTCTATTACTGTATCTAACACATAACACTATCAAAAATTTGATTTTCTACTACCAAGCTTATCTTGCTATGAATGTGTCTAAAAATTCTAGGATAATTTAAAATATAAAATGGGGGTAGCAAGATGGCTAAATAGGTAAAGACATTTGCTACTAACCCTGCCAACTTGTATTTGATTCCCAGAGTACGTGAGGTGAGATAACTACCAAGTTATCATGTCATTTCCACATGTAAACCAACAAGCATACAGAAAATCAATTTAAAAAGAAAAGAAATGCTACAAAGTCCTCACACACACAAAGAAAGGGAGGGAGGGAGGGAGGGAGGAAGGAAGGAAGGAAGGAAGGAAATAATTGCTTTTTTAATGGAAATATGGGTCTGGGGATGTAACTCAATAAGAGCATTTTGTTTAGCTTGGTCTAGGCCCTCGATTACATCCACAGTACAACAAAAAATAGAATTAAATGAAATGTAACTGGAAAAGTACATTCCCCAAACTACTGTCACTCTAGAAACTGTTTTCTTTTGAAGGTCATATGTAAATACTATATAACAAAGCTTAAGGGAGCAAAACGGTAAGGAATGGGTATACCACAGGGCATCAGAACATACATATTTCGTGCTCATCATCTCCTGCCTGTTGTTTGAGATAGGGCCTCTCTATGTAGTCCTCGCTGCCCTGGTACTCCCTATGTAGACAAGGCTGGTCTTGAACTCATAAAAGACTCATCTGCCCCTGCCCCTGAGTGCCGGGAGTAAAGGTATAGTCTGGCACACCCAGCAATCTTCTTGAGAAGTAATGCACAGTCCTTCATTTTTAGTATTAATGACTATGAAATGCATGGAAAAAGTGGAAATGGTAGGCCATATTCAACACTTAGAATTCTCTTATGTATAAACAGAACTGGATTAGTAATGGTATCTCACTAAATTGTAGGCAATGGATTTATGACCAAGAAACTGCTCTAAAACTGGATAGGTTTAACAGCACACAGACACCCCAGCTACCCTAAACTAAACCATCATTAAATGTGGTACTCAAAGTGGGTAAAGCAATATACAGGGGAAGCAGCAGCAAAAACACCACAATGGGTTAATAGTACAAGCTCAGAGCTAGGTTCCCTACATACATATTGAAGCTCAAGAGGTCCCATGCCCTCTTCTAGCCTCCCAGGGCAATAGGCACACACATGGTGCACAGACATGTGGTAAAACACTCATACACATATCTTTGGTGATGTATTTGACTAACCCTCAACTTTTTCATGTGCAAAAGAAGGCTAATACTATCAATCGCTACAATGTTGTGAGGTTTAAATGTAGCATATGTGCATACTCCTTCAAAGTTCTCCATAAATTAACAATTACTTTAGCTTTAATTCTACCTCACATATCTATGGCTGCCTGAATGAAACAAAAAGCCAAACTCTGAACTTTACTACCAATCAGAAACACACAAGTCAATTCAGTTATTAAGCAGCACTAATTTCCTGTCACTGAGCAAACACATATATTCATAAGTTGAGATATATGCAGCCACTTCAGATTCTGCCTAACTGGATCCAGTCTTTGTAAAAAGCTTTTGATATACTCAGAAGTGAAACAAACTGTTTTATGTTTACTTGATTCACAAATTACTCAAATCTTATTCAATGTATACATTTCTTTCAATTACAGTAAATAAATAGAACCTCTTCAATAGAACCTTTGCAATTCATGGGATCTAAACAAATGTTAAGGCAATTAAAAAATCATAGGCTATTAAACAATTTTACACCAGAGCTCACCTTCAGAGGGCTAGGCTCCAAAATAATGAAAGATTAGGCATCATCATTATTCACAATTTTACTGATTTTTCTTATCTTCCTAAATAGGCCAAAACATTTTAAATACCAACACAAATAAACATGGAAGGCAGAAAAAAATGCATATAAATGTGCTAAATATCTAGTATATGGCAATAAAGACCAACATGGTTGAGTTAAAAAGTATATGTTCTTCCTAAAGATATAACATAAATTCAGTGTTAAGAGTCAGCCATGATGGCCTATGTGGCACAAACACCTCTCTAATCCTAGCACTTGGGAGGGGGAGGCAAGAAGATCAGGAACTCCTTAGGTTCATCTGGTCACCCACAGCTACATATATAATTTGAGACCAGCCCAGACTACAAAAGACCCTGTCTCAAAAATCAACAAACACCAGAGAAAAAATTATAGACACGAAGGAAGGAAGGAAGCAAATCCTGTTAGTTAAAGAAAAACTTCTGCTCCTGTTTCTAGTTATTTGACTACTAACCTAGGAGCCTGGAGGAAAAAAAGCAAAATATATGTACTAGACTGTTTGACAGAATCAAAGATGGGTACTGTCATTTAGCTTAACTCCTCTCATCAATGCCAGGTTAGAGATAGCTATACAAAACAAAGCCAGTAATGTCAAAGGCAACAGTCTAGGTAGATAATGGATTCCACAAGTACCTTTTCAACTCATACTACTTTAAACATCAGGAGCACTCTTGAAATTGTAAGTACCCGGCCTCTAGCAAAATGATGTGCTATGAATAAGCCGTGTCAATGATAAAAAAATAAAAAATTGAGGAAAGTAGGGGGTGCTGAAAATAAATACTATAGCCGTGGTTCTCAACATGTGGGTCGTGATCCCTTTGGGGGTAACCAAATGATCCTTTCACAAGGTTACCTAAGAGTATCAGAAAATACAGACATTTACATTATGATTCATAACAGTGGCAAAATTACAGTTACAAAGTAGTAACAAAAATAATTTTATGGTTGGTAGTCACTACAAGATGATGAACATTAGGAAAGTTGAGAACCACTGATCTACACATAAAGCTTACATATAAAAAGCTAGCACCAACCAGTTGGTCATAGTGCATGCCTTTGATCCCAGCACTTGAGAGGCAGAGGCAGGTAGATCTCTGTGAGTTCAAGGCCAGTCTGGTCTACAGAGTGAGTTCCAGGATGCCAGAGCTACACACAGAAAGCCTGTCTCAAAACAACAACAACAACAAAAAATAGCACCAATATAGTAAAGTCTGGGTAGCTTTTACATTAAATCCAGAGTAGCATGCCCCAGAATCACTCTCTTGTGTCATTTCTTTTTATTGCAGCATGGATCAGCAGTAACAATTACCTAGTCAGTGAGAAAGCTAAAAGTACTTTGGTGACTATCCATGGTTTCCTAAGGGTGTCTGAGTGTTTGAGACAAATTATAGAATGAGCTGATCTTAACTTACTTTACAGCATTTTGTTACTAGTAGTAATGGGCCAGGCAATGGTGGTGTATTCCTTTAATACCAGCACTTAGGAGGCAGAGGCAGACCAATCTCTGAGTTTGAGGCCAACACAATCAAGTTCCAGGACAGTCAGGGCTACACAGAGAAATCCTGTCTTGGGAAAAAATGAAATGTTTTGGTTGTCAACTTTAAATGGAAGGGTGTATGTGTCTAAGTGTGTGTGCACATGTATATGTTACTAAGAAAGTCATTGAGGAAAAGTACCCCAAACACTAAAGAATTTCATGAATTCAAATAGTTTTAATTATCCTGTAAATGAATTAAACCTTAAAAGATCCCAAAAAACTAAACACACACATTTGTCTGCCTATAAAAATGTATCACTAGCTGGCAGGTAGTGCACACCTTTGATCCCAGCCCTTGGGACGCAGAGGCAAGTAGATCTATGTGAGTTTGAGACCAGCCTGTTGTACAAAGCTACACAAAGAAACCTTGTCTCGAAAAACAAAACAAAACAAAAAAACCAAAAAACTCTATCACTGTCAATTCTGCCTGTAGTATAGTCATTCAAGAGATGGCCAAATAGGGAAGGGTACATGAGAGTAGGCTAAGTGAAGACTTTACGAGCACTTGTCATAGTACTTCAACTGCACAGGAATCTATAACTATGTTGAAACAATGTTTTTTCTTTGTTGCTTTATCTTTTGAGACAAGGTTTCACTCTGAATCCCTGGCTGGCCTGGAGCTAGACCAGTCTTGAATTCACATGCCTCTACCTCCTTTGCTTTCCAAGTGCAGGAATTAAAGACATAGGACACCATGGCTGCACTCAAAATATAAAGTTTTTGAAGAGCAGTTAATGTAGGTTTTTAAAAAATAAACCTAAATTGTTTAAAAGTTATACACATCTTGATACAAAAATCATCATTCAAGTATGCTGGACACTGGACACTACTTTAAGACAAATCTCAATTCTGAAGCTGCTTTAAAATTACTAATCAAAGATCCTAATGAAAGCACACACTGTAAATGAATTTCAAATCCAGGAACAATACTATACTGTTGTAGCATATATTACATATAACATACTATATATAGCATAGTATATATATTAGGCATTTAAGAGCATCTTTAAGACAATGAGGCTGCTATGCCTTCAATATCGTTTTGTAGACGCCAGGTAATTGTGTGTCAGAGAATCTTGCATCCACTCGGCACTCAACAAAACACACACTAAGCACTGCTGAACACAATTCTTGCCCTTGGGAAGGAATGATTGCTGGACCAGATGGTCTCTGGTGGACTGGTTTCATAGTGAATTACTTCCATGGGGGCTGATTTTAGCAGGCTCGTTGCTCAAACCTCCTCAATGCTTAATGCCAGTGCCGTGGCTGTCCTTTTACAACGTGACTTCCCCCCCCCCAGGATGTTTTAAACGGAGAAAAGCGACAGAAAAAGTGCAGTTCTGGTTAAGCATAAGCCTCTCCAGAACTCGCCACACACTGGATTTCACTCAAGCCTTCAGTAGGCAGAGAAGGCAAGGCAGGGTCTTTAAGCAGGGGGCGCTTGCTGATGACAGGAACACCTTCCTAGAAGGTGGGTAAAGAAACTCTTACCATCCTCAAATGGGGTCCCTTCAGGCCTGTAACACAGAGAAACAAGAAAACAAAACCCAGTTAGCTGCCTCCGAGAGGGTCCCCTTCTTGCCAGTGCCCGTGAGCAGGCGGTTCTGTCAAGGGCTCCCATCCCTGCCTCCCTTCCATCACCGCTGTCGGTGCCCCGAAGGCCACACTGCTCCGTCAGTGCGGGGGCTCGGGAGGCAAGGCAGGCCGCCGCCGTGTCGGCCTCCACCACTCCCCACCCCGCCCCCCCAGAACCCCAAATGGTTCCCCGGGCACCGGGAAGGGAGCTAATCGAGGCAGAGGCTCCGGGGAGACGCCTAGGCCCAAGCAACCCCAAATATCTTCCCCTGTGCCCCCGCGGCTCGTCGAGGCGCCGGCCCCGGTCCCCCATCCCTCGGCAACGGCCGGAACGCAGACTCACCCAAAAATGACCGCGTTCCAAACCATTATGTTGTTCTCCGACGGAGCCCCGCTCACTCCGGCCGGAGGGTCCTCTTGTAACCTGCAGGAACACACAGCGGTCCCCCTCGGTCCCGCGACCCGCCGCCGGCCCCCCATCACCACACCCCGAGCCGCTCCGTTTCGGGATCCGCCCTGCGCCCCGGCAGGCAGCCCCCTAGCCGCCTGTCCCTGACTGATGGCATTACCTCTTGAAGTCCCTCATGAGGCGCCGCCGGGCCGGGGTCGACATGTCTCTAGCGGGGTCAGAGGTGGGGCATACACCAGGGTCCCCGGTCCCGGAGGAAGCTGAGGAAGCTGAAGCAGCCGAGGGAGCGCCCAGAGGGACGGCGCTGCCTCTCCGAAGTCGAGGGTCGGTCTGGCGCCGGCTAAGCACCACCCCTGAGTAGACAGGGGCTGAACCAACCTGAGGAGAAAGCGAGGGGGGTGGAACGCCTAGCTCCGGACAGGCCGTACCAAGACGCGGGCCTGGGGGGGGGGGCGAAAGTCGGTGTGTCACTGAAGGCCAGCCTGAAAGCCCCCCAATGGCCATGGGGGAGGTGGCGGCCAAGTTCTCAGAGAAAGGCTAGCCAGGGAGCAAATGGAAGTCTTCAGCCCTCGGGGACTTAACAAGGGGACCACTCGGGTTCCACTTGCTGATTTGAAGACGAACCCTGTGAAGTTTTGTTTTTATATTGACGTACTTTTTCTTTTCTTTTTCTTTTTTGACACGGGGTCCCCCTGTAGGCCAGGCTGACCTCGAACTCACGGTGTAGTTGAGGATGACCTTGAACTCCTGCTTTCATCTCCCAAATGCTGGGATTACAAGAGTGCACCACCATGCCAGTCTTTAATTAAAGTTCCCCACTCCCCACCCCACCCCAGCTTTCCTCCTCCTCCTCTTTTTTTTTTTTTTTTTTTTTTTTTTTTTTTTTTGACTCTTTCAATAGTATCCAATGTAACACTAGCTAATTCAAGCTCACTGTGAATCACATAGGCTGGCCCTTGAAGTCAACTCAGCCTGCCAAGGTCTGTGATGACAGGAATATGCCTTCACCCCTGGCTTTTTGTTTGTTTGTTTGTTTGTTTTGTTTTGTTGTGGGAAGGAATAATTAAAGTGCCAACTACTGCCTAGGGTGGAGGAAAGAGAAGTTGAAAGAGAAGATGAGAAAAGAGCTGCCAGAGGAGAAGCCATCCTCAAAAGTCATGTCCTGCAGACACAGGAGACTGGAATAATGGTTAAAATCAGGGGCAAAGTAAAAATAAAGAAAGAACTAAATGGTTCCTGACCATGAAAAATGGACTCTGTGTCCTTTTTCTTTGGGATGAGGGTGCACAATTCAATCCCAACATTTTAGCCTGGGGCTGATGAAATGCAGTTGGGGTGGAAATGAGAGCTTCAGGCAGATAAAATGGACATTTTACAATTGCTCTGGGCACTCACAATTTGTCTCTGGAACCACATTTCCCCTGGGTAATTCAACAAGGCAAGCAGCTAGTTTAGAAGAGTCCAAGGTATGAGACTATCCAGCTGCAGGGCCTTGGAAGGACAGAAGGTCGGAAGGAAAGGTAACGGTAGGGTGCACGTGGAAAGCTGCGAGTTGCAGGGAAGACTCTCAGGTAGGATAGGAACCTGCAAAAGCAATAACAGTTTGAAAGAAGCAGTGTTAGAGGTCAATCCAATAACCACTTAGTAGGCAGACAAGATACACGTTTGAGAATGGTGGAAATTATGAGAGAGGCAGATTTGAGTCAAATCCCGGGGAGTTTTGAGTGCCAAGCTACTGGAATCCTTGGAAGGTGGCTGAGTAGGGCAGTGACAACATTAGAGCTGTGCGAATGAGAATTTGCTCCCAAGAGAGCAGCTGCAGGGTCCTTGTGCTGCTGGGGGGGCTGGGAGGTTGCACTATACCAGGCAATCCCACCTCTCAGGGGCCAACTTCATTCTTTACCATGGAACCTATTACAGCTTCAAAGTCTACAACAGAGACTCTCGCCCCCATTAAACGCTGCACACATTTTGAATCTCTGTCTTTTTCAGGGAGAGCCCAGTCTTCTATAGCCATCAGAGAAAAGGAGGGGGTGACTAAAGAGCACGTGGCAATAGATTGAATGTGGGGGCAAGAAGTCAAAAGTGCCTGACGCTTTAAGCCCCAAAAGAAGTGGAGATTTGAAGTGGCCATTAACAGAATTGGGTATAAAGGGTGAAGGACACATTTGGGAGAGGAAATTTTGAGTGGGACTTTTTGAGCTCCTGGGATTGATGAGACATCCATGTGAAGATGTCCAAAACTCATCAAATGCACAGCATTTGGTTTTAGCATAGGAAGTAGGAAGCAAATGCCAACAGTAATGGTTTTGTTGGGCGCTTAACAAGTACCTTTGTGGTCAACAATTGTTATCTCCCATTAACTCCAACATATCAGTTAAAGCAAGTGTTCATCAGAGCATCACATTATGGCTGTGGTAGGGAAAGGTTACAAAACCAAATTTTTAAAAATCTTTTCCCCTTATCTAGGAACTTGAATTCTTCTACTTCATGCATATGCTATCAGCAAAAAGCAAGGCCTGCAAAAACAAGAGCATTTGCTCTCAATTAGTGCTTAACCCATTACCATGAACTAACTAGCCAAGTCCAGTTCCTTGTGGTTGAGGGCCCTATTTCATTATTGACTGCCAAATTGGGACCACTCCCAGCTCCCAGAGCCCACCCCCATTCTTTGCTATGTGACATGCTCTTTTTAGTCACAAACACATTATTTGTCTCTCATTTGCTCCTTCTCACATTTTGAACATTTTTCTTCAGAGAGAACCCAGTGTACTTTCTATAGTTTATCTGATTAGGTCAGACCCAACCTTGATAATCTCTATATCTTAAAAATCCTCTAACTTCAGGTTGCAGTTACTCTTTTCAAAGGGCTGGAGTATTAATGCTCAATCATTGAGTACTTACCTAGCATGTGTAAGACTCTGTGTGCCATCCACAGTACAGAAAGGAAGACAGGAAGAAAGAAAGGGAGAAAAAAAGAAAGAAAGAAAGAAAGAAAGAAAGAAAGAAAGAACATTTGCTTGATTTCTTCACTGTAGAATCTAGATAAAATGTTTGGTTTAATAGCCAGACAAAGTATGTGTGGGCGCAACAAGGACCAAGAGTCTTTGTAAAGAGTGGCATTATGCAACCCTACCTTCCACAGCAGAAGTGGCATCTCTAGTAGGTGTGTGGGAATCCCTCTGAGTTGAGAAATTGCACCACCAAAAAGCCATTAGTCTAGTGGGGTGAAGACAAGCTTCCATTTCAGTTTTGTTGTAAAAGAGACAAAGTCCAAACAGTTTGTATGAGGATGCCAATGTGAACAAGCGCATGGAATAAAACTGTCTTCTAGAGAAGTGGGCAGATTGGCTTGGCTCGTAGAAGAGGTGTATGTGTTTCATTTGTTGTTGTTTGCAGCAGGTGGTGAGACAAGGCCCTACTCTATAGCCTGGATAGTCAGTGAAATCGCTGTGTCAACATAGCCTTCGTGTTTTAGCGTGTTATTATGTGCTGAGATTACAGTTGTGAACCATCATAGCTAGCCTGGGAGAGGTTCTTCACTGAGAAGTAATGAAACCTCAGCTTGGAAAGTCAAGAGTGACAAAGTTGATTAAATCCCCTTAGATGCAAGGGCGGGGGATTTCGTTTCCACTGGCAGCTTTTGTGAGAGTTTGAGCATAAGAGAGAAAGAGGTACAGAATATATACTATTGAGAAGTACCATGAAAGCTGGGAATGGTGAATAATGCAGCTTTGGGGAAGCTGAGGCAGAAGGTATGCAAGTTCAAAATCAGCCTGGGTTACATAGTGAGATGGGGAAGAAGAGAAAGGAGTAGGGGGAAAGGGGGAGGACAGAGGGAAAAAGCTAGGGAGCTCTCCTGAGGGTCTAGGAAAGGGATACTTTATTGACTGGCTATCAAGTGTCTGAAAGTAATTATGTAACACAGTAGACATGTTTACTTTTTCTGTGGGCAATACACACACACACACACACACACACACACACACACACACACACATATTTCCTTCTCTTCCTTTCTTGGACTATATAGTCAAGACAACTCAAGGGCCTGAACCAAAGTAGTTTGCAAGCTCAAAACACCTGCCTGGGAATAGTGTCCTCTGACTGAGGAATGGAATTGCATACTGAGAATGTTCCCCATACTCTTCATCAAAGCAGACTTGGTTTCCAGCACAGATGATTATCAGGCTAGAACAAGTTAGATACAACACAGCTAGACAAGCATTCTTTCACTCCCATCTCACCCCGAAGAAATGCTCTCTTCACAGCCAAGGGCTCCCCTCTGCCCGACAGCACATCATTCACTCCCTCTCATGGACAGAACCATTGTCAGTTCCCTGACTTTCATCAGAGATAGCGATTGAGTGTTTCTGATTTGCTCTGCCAGCTTAGCAGTTGAAATTTCTTAGAGCTCATGACTGAGACTTAAAGTGCTCCGAATGAGAAGCACCGCCCTTCACATCTGTTAAAGAACACCCAATGTTTTTTTAATATATTTTGCTATATACTTGCTAAATGATTCTTTTTATGATGTTTATGTCTTCATTGTTTTTATATTTATTCAGTGGTGTGGTGGTGTGTGTGTGTGTGTGCAGGAGCATGACTGAGATGTGTTGGGAGTGAGAAGTGTCTGGAGGAAATGAGAGATGGATATAATCAAACTACATTGAATATGTGTATGAAATTCTCAAAGAATAAGTGCAAAATATTATTTAGCTGTTTTTAAAACGTTTGTATTCTTCTATAAATTTGCAGTGATTGTATTTCCCAAGTCAGATTTCAGTTCCAATAGCATTTTCCAGGTCATAATACAAGTGCAAAACCCTTTGTATTTCAAAATTTAATGTAGCCGTACCGTTAAGGAACTTCTATTCAAACTGGTACTGAAGGTTGTTAATCTGCAATGAAGGAGCATACTACAAGGTAAAGAAAAATAATGAACACCAAGAGTATAAATGAGGGCTGGAGAGACACTTCAGTTGAGAGCCCTGGAAACTCTTCCAGAGACCGCTGAGTTCAAAGGCAATTCACAACTTTCCGGGGTCTGATGTACTCTGGCCTACATATAGTGTACCGACAGAGATGCAGGCAAAACACTCATACACATCAATTGGGATTTTTTTGTTTTGTTTTCTAAACACATGATTTTTTTCTGTGTAACAACCCTTGCTGTCCTGGAACTCACTCTGTAGACCGCGCTGGCCTTGAATCCACAGAGACCTGCCTGCCTCTGCTTCCTGAGTGCTGAGATTAAACTAGTGTGTCACCACTGCCTGGCTACATAAAAATTTTAAAATACTATAAACTAATAGAATTGTTCAAATGCCTTCTCAGGGATGAATATACCTAATCAAAGCAATATCTTGATATGAATATGTGGTAGTATTTATCTCTGTGAAAAACATTCAAAGATCAAATGCACAAATATTATTACAGATAAATGTTAATCTATGAATATCTGTAGCTGAACTTACTGATCAGGAATACTCACGCTGAACCATAATTATGAGAATTACTATTCCTTTTTATAAAAGTATGCCATCTGTATATTAAATCTGTATATTAAAGTAGTGTTATATTTTGAAATTTGTCAATAAAGTGCTTATGAAAATCAATTTCCTCTTATATAATTTCCTAGACTAAGTTCTCGACTTTGTTTCCTGCTATACCCAAACTAAGGGATTCAATCTCTATTTTCTTACAGAATAAATTTGCTAACTGCAGTGCGAGACTAATCCACCTGAGAAGTGAAAGCAATTGTGGTTGATTACTATCGCACAGTTGCTAACAATGAACAGGTGGTCAACAAGTATTTAGTAGTGTGGAATGAAAGGGATGACATTGGTCTAAAACCTAAAGATCAAATATTGTGACTCTTGGGCTGGAGAGATAGCTCAGCTGTTAAAGAGTGGGCTCATAAAGATATAAAAGACTGTGATTCCCTAAGACTTTCATTAATAATTCTCTTATACTTGGGGGCTAGTTGTGTAACATAATATGAGAGTACTTTCCTAACATACACAAATCCCCAGATTCAATTACTAGCAACCCAAAAAAACAAGAAGAATGGTCTTGTTTTATGTGTGGTGCTTGCCTGTATTTCCAGCACTGTGGATGCTGAAACAGAGGGATTGTGAGTGCAAAACTAGCATGAACTAGAGAGGGAGCATGCTGCCAAGCCTGACAACCCGAGTTCTATTCCTGGGACCTACCTAATAGAAAGTGAGAGCAAACTGTGTGTGTGCACGCGCGCGCGCACACACACACACACACACACACACACACACACACACCACATACAATACGCTAAAGTAATTTTTTTAATTTAAAATTGAAGACAGGAGAAGTCATAGATTCAAGGTGCATGTCTAATTGTGGTCTATGTATGTATGTTTCTGCCCATAGAGTGATGCCACTGTCAACTTTGGTCGGTGAAGCTTCTTTTTGCAGTGGGTAGTGATTACTGCAGAGACTCATACGTGATCAAAATGCTGAAGATAAGAGTCTTAATGTTGGCAGCTAAGTCCTAAATGGAACATCTAAACCATCCACTTCAGGACTGAAAAAAACATCCCAAAAGAAAGGGTAAGGAAGGGTTAGGGGTGATTGGCATGCTGTTTACTGCGCATGATTTACTATTCTTTGGAACTCCTGGTAGTTGTGATTACTTGCACAAGATTGGGCCCCTGACCATACTGTCATGGAAGGAAAAGGGACACATGAGATCCCACCCTTTCTGGAGGAGATGCAGGCAGTTAATGGTTGCTGAGAGAGAGACCTGTTCTCCAGTGGTGTATAAATAATCCCTCATTCACACTCTTGTAAGTAACTCTGGGAAGAGGGAGAGGACCATTAGAGGTGGGAGAGGGACAAGATAGAGTAATGAGGGTGAATATGACCAAAACACATTGTATATATGTATGAAAATGTCACATTGAAATCCATAATTAAGCCTAATTACTATATGTGGATAAAGTTGCAAATAATTTTGTTATGTGCATTAGTGTTTTGCCCACATGTACACCTAGGTGCCATGAGCATGCCTAGTGGCCGTAGAAGCCAGAGCGAGTGTTGAATCTCCTAGAACTGGAGTTACCAGTGGCTATGAGCTGCCATGTGGGTTCTAGGAATCAAACTCAGGTCATCTGGAGGAGCAGCCAGTGCTCTTAACCACTGACCCATCTCTTCACACAAACACAACCCTATAAGCTTGTAAAAAGGAGTCTTAAATTTTAAATAATACATCTTCACTGAAGGGCTGGTAAACTGTTTTTGAAATTCCAGTTGGTGTATGCCTTGTGTTCCTCTAGTCACAAACTCCTTCCTTCTTCAGTAAAATCTCTCTTTGAAATAAAATATTTCAGTGCTGACACTTGGATTATTGAAGTTAGTCGATGTGAATTGTCTTGATGTGTTTATTCTAAGTGTCCCCGGGCATCTATCCTCCAGAAAAAAGAATGTTGGGAGACTTTCTGGGTTGGAGAAGGAAGGATGAAAGATGGTCCATCACATATAGGACAACTCTAACCACAAATCATTTACATGATTAAGACTACATGAGTAAGGCTTAGTATCCAAAACATATCAAGAACTCAAGGACTCAAAGATAGAACCCTTGCTTCAAATTCCTGAGGACCTGGATTCAAACTCCAGCACTGCAAGAATTCTTACAAGTCAATAATAAATTGACTAATTAAAAGTGGGCAAAGGATGCGAGGTGACATTCATGCAAAGAAGATATATAACTGACCAATAGGCATATGAAAAAGTAATCAACATCATTACTTAGCAGAAAAATACAAATCAAAACCACAATGAAACACGACTTCATACCCACCAGGATGGCTATAGTTAAAAAAAAAAAGACTGACAATGGGGGCTAGAGAGAAAGCTAATCTGTTAAGAGCACTTACTGCTCTTGTCTAGGACTCAAGTTTGATTCCCAGCATCCATATCAGACAGTTCACAACTGCTAGTAACATACATATAGGGAAAAATAAAAATAAATGACAGAAAATAATAATTATTGGCAAAGTTGGAGAGAAATAAGAGGCTTGTACACTGCTGATAGGAATGTAAAATTGTGTACTGCTTTGAAAATCTTGGTAGATTATCTAAAGATTAAATATAGACTTGCACCTGATCTAACCATTTCACTACTAGTTATATAACCAAAAGAACTGAAACTAAACATCCTGAGTATGACCAAACATGACCATTGTAACATGAATGAGAATGCCTATTGCAGCATTATCTATAATAGCCAAAAAGTGGAAACAAGGCAAATGACAACTAGTAATGCTCAGATAAACAAGAAATGGTAAATCTGTACAATGAAATACTATTCAACTATAAAAAGGAATTACCTTCTGTAATATGGAGAGGAGATAGGCAATGACTAATAATAGGTATGAGATTTCCTTTTGAGATGATAAATATGTTCTGGAATTAGATAATGATATTGGTTGCATAACTTTGACTAAACTATTACCAAATTGACTTTTTTTTTTCCTGAGATAGGGTCTCACTGTGTGCATTTGGTTGGCCTGAAACTCAGCAAGATCTGCCTGCATTTGCCTTTTGAGTATTGGGATTGAAAACCTACAACCATGCTTGCTTATTAATATACTTTTAAAGATGAATTATATATTATTTGAATTTAGCCCTTTTAAATTACTTATTTATTCTCCCCCCCCCCCCGGTGTGTGTGTGTGCGCACAAGTCAGATGACAGCTTGAGAGAGTGAGAGATTGTTCTTGCCTTCCATCATGTGGGTCCTGGAAATGAAATTTAGGTAACCAGGTTTGGTGGCAAGCACTTTAACCCAATGAGCTCCTTCAGTGCCCAAGTTGAATTCTAAGAATGTGAATTGTATCTTTTTAAATAAAGAAGCTTCAGCTTGTCACTGTGATACATGTTTGCAATCTCAGTACACAGGAAGCACAGGGAAGGAGGTTTTGAGTTCAAGGAAAGACGGGGGTGGGGGGTGGGAGGAGGAGGAGGGATAGAAAAGAAGGGAAGGAGGGAGGGAGGGAAGGAGAAAGGAAGGGAGGAAAGAAGGAAGGAAGGAAGGAAAGAAGGCAGGCAGAGAGATAGCTGAGCAGTTTAAGCGCACCGGTTGCTCTTCCGGAGCACTCTGGTTCTATTGGACCTACATGGCAATTCACAACCTCCTGTAAAGACAATTAATTGCAGAGAATCCAAAGCTGTCTTCTGGCCTCTGTGGATACCCGGCACGACATATATGCAGACAAAACACCCGTACACACAAAATGAAAATATTAAAATTTAAAAAACTAAATTAAATAAACAACAACAAAAAATAGGGCAGGAGGATAGCTCAGTGATAGAATGTTTGTCTGTCATGTGCATGTCCCCACTACAGCAGGGGAAAAAAAGCTTCTATTTCATTAGGTACTCATTCTGAATATGCCAATAAAATCAAAATATTTACAGATACATCTAAAATCTAGGATTTATGTGTGTCTCTCTGTGTGTGTGTGTGTGTGTATAATGTATAGTTCTTTATTATGTCAGGTTTTACATAAGTTCATGAATATTTATGGTTCAGAGAGATGGCTCAGTAGGTAGGTAAAAGTGCTTAAGAGCTGAGCTTAATCTTTTGAGATTCACAAAGTGGTAAGAAAGAATAGAATTCGGAAAGTTGTCCTTTGACGTCAACACACGCGCGCTAATTAATAAAAACAAGATAAATATTGATGACTTCATAGAAATAAAAAGAATTGAAATAATACTGAGGGTGTGACAACTAAACCTGTCCCAACTAACTGCCTAGCCAAAAGAGCTTCTGTCAACTCAGCAGCCTCGCCTGCCTCCCCCTGCATCGTAACGAGATGGGACGTTCCGGAAGTTAATCAGGCCGGCACGAACATGTGACCAGGGCGGAGAAACCGTCCCGCACGTGCGTCTGTGACGCCATCTCGGCGCGACTCTTTATTTCCTTGGAGTTTTCTGGCTGCTTTTCTGGCTGCTCTGCCGGAGCTATGCCGAAAGTCGTATCCCGGTCGGTGGTCTGCTCCGACACCCGGGACCGCGAGGAATATGATGATGGCGAGAAGCCCCTTCATGTCTACTACTGTTTGTGCGGCCAGATGGTCCTGGTGCTGGGTGAGTGGCGGGGAATGGCGATTGCAGTGAGACATCGGGCTTTTTGTTTTGAGACAAGATCTCATTAAGTTTCTCAGCTCGAAGTTGAGTTCATGATATAGCTTTGACTGGCCTCGAACTTGCCGGTGATCCTCCTGCATTACAGGCGTGCACCACCACTCTAGGCTCAGGATATTTTTCAGTGATTCTAAGTGACGAAATCTTTCTTCATTCCTTCAGATTGTCAGTTAGAGAAATTGCCCATGAGGCCTCGGGACCGGTCTCGAGTGATTGATGCTGCCAAACATGCTCATAAGTTTTGTAACACAGAAGATGAGGAGACTACTTATCTTAGGAGGTAAGGGCTTGATGCTCTGTCTAGTTGCCTGCTGTGTTCAAGATTGTTTCTGAAGAATGTAAATTTTTCTATGTAGTGTGGAGCATCTCTCAAAATTAGGTCTGATAATTTGACATTTGTGCTACTAATCTAACTTATGTTAATGCAGCAAATTCTTTATTGTATTTTCTAGAAATGGTACTAAAATTTGATTCTCTTGGCATTTGACAGCTGTGATTTTCCCAATTACAGGTTTGAATGAGTTCGTACAACCTGAAACTTCTGTTTTTGTTATCAGTATATTTGCATGGCTGGGGAAGGAACCACAGGCCTTAGTCTTGCGGGATGAGAACTTTCCCACATAGTTACAGCCCAAGTCTATAATCTTATGCATATCATCTGCTAGGTACTGAATCTATGAATGAATAAGGCATAGTAGTTATTAAAGAATTCATTGACGAAACAGACTTTCTTTTTCTTTCCTTTCTTTTGTTTGTTACTTTATTTGTTTTTCGAGGCTGGGTTTCTCTGTGTAGCTTTGGAGCCTGTGTGGAACTCGTTCTGTAGACCAGGCTGGCCTTGAACTCACAGAGATCCACCTGGCTTCTGCCTCCAGAGTGCTGGGATTAAGGGCATGCACCACCAACGCCTGGCTTAGAAACTGGCTTCTTATGTGATAGAAAGAAATGTGGTGCTATGAACGAAGGCTATAATAAAAGCGGTGGGAGAGGGTTATTTTACAGGAGTTGTGGTCAGGAAAAGCTCTGAAAGAAGTGGAATTTGTGCTTGGCTTGAACTAGGACTTTGCCAGTTCTTGGGCAAGGACAAGGAACAGTCCAGGTAGAGGCAATCTGGAAACCTTAAGAGCATCAAATATGATGTGCTTGGGAAATTTCAATAGCCTTTTGTGGCCAGAACATGGGTTACTGTTTTACAGAAAAGACTCCATGTATACTGTGGTGAGGTCAGTGAAATGCTTTATCTGAGAACAGTGAAAAGCTATTTATTTGTGCTTGTCAGGGGCAGAGGTAATTTGAACACACTTGTGGAGACCAGAGGATAACCTTGAGCGCCTTCTACTTTTTTAAAAAATAAAGTGTCTCTTACTGGCCTAGAACTTTCTAAGTGGTCTACGTTGGCTGGCCAGTGAGCACCCATGGAACTGCCTGACTCTACCTCTCCAGTGCTGACAAGGGGCACCACCATGCCTAGAATTTAGCTAGGTTCCAGGGACTCAAACTCAAGTCCTCCTGCTTGCTTGCAAGGCAGGTTCTTTATGGACTGGGACCTGTCTCCTCAACCTGGCTTTCATTCATAAAGCTTTACTTTTGTTTTAGTGAGAGTTAGTGTTTGTGGGTTGGTGAGTGCAGGTGGGAGGAAAATGTTTGATTCCCTGCAGCTGGAGTTCCAGGTGGTTGTCAGCCACCTAACATTGGCCTTGGGACCCAAAGTCAGGTCCTCTGCAAGAGCAACATACTCTCAATCACTGAGCCATCTCTTTAGCCCCCTTATTTCCATTTTATAAAGATGGCGTGACATAATTAGATATGTGTGTTTTCTAAATAAAGGAACCCTTGGTGTATATGTGTGATTAAAAATGTAGGTGGATAAAGTTACATACAATGAGGTTTATAACTCGGTAAGAATACTTGGTACTGTACATAGCAAGGATGGTAATGCACACCTGTAATCCTAGCTCTATGGCAATAGAGGTAGGAAGATTATAACTTAAAGGTCATCAGGAGTGTGTGTGTATAACAGAGAGTCGGGATCTTACTATGTAGACTAGGCTGGCCTGGAACCTAGAGATTTGTCTGCTCTTCCTTCCCAAGCTCTGGGATTAAAACCATGTGCCACTAGGCCTGGCAATTTTATGTTTGTTTCTTTAAAAAAATTTTTTGTATTATTTATGTGGTGGTAAGGGATGGGGCATGGGTGGAGCTGCCATGGCCTGCCTGTGGACAGCTTTTGGTAGTTAGTTTTCTTCTCCTATATGGGTCCCAGGGATAGAACCTGGGTCATCAAGCTTGGTGGCAAATGCTTTACTCTCTGAGCCATCTCTCTTACTCTCTTCTGGATTTTTTCCCCAGTAATCCCTACTGTTCCTTGGCATATAAATGCATCATTCCATTATCTACCTCTATCATGTGGCTTTTTTCTGTATCTTTTCATTTTTATAAATTTTATTTTCTGTATATGAATGTTTTCTCTGCATGTATATTTGTGTATCATATGTGTGTCTGGTGCATATAGAGGCCAGAATAAGAATCCCTTGGAACTGGAGTTACAGATGGTTGTGAGCTGCCATGTGGGTGCTGGGAATAGAACCCTAGTCCTCTAGAAAACAACCAGTGTTCTTAACCCGTGAGCTATCTCTCCAGCCCCTCTTCTCTTATTTTTAACATTTTATTTATTTCTGTTTGTTTGGATTTTTGACAGTCTCTCTTACAGCACAGGTCTTGAATGGGATACTTAGTAGAAAATGACCTTAATTCCTTATCCTCCTGCTTGTATCTCCCAAGTGCTCAGATTACCTAGGGTCACTTTGTCCTATGTTTTATCTTCCCCCATTATTTAGATTACTAATTTTGAAAATTATTGACTGTCTTTAGAATCACTGTAATAATCACACATAATATTCATAGAAAGTTATGTATATAATAGTATTATATATTAATATATATTATTCAGTTAGTACAGAAAGCAATTGCCTTAGTTAAGGTTCCCATTGCTGTGAAGAGACACCATGACCATGGCAACTCTTATAAAAGAAAACACTTGAGGTGGCAGCTTACGTTCAGAGTTTTAGTCCATTATCATCATGGTGGGTAGTATGATGGCATGTAGGCGATGTGGTGCTGGAAAAGGAGCTGTTAAATGTTGATATGTAGGAAACAGGAAGTAGACTGTCTAGCTGGGAATAGCTTGAACATAGGATACCCATGGTGACATAATTTCCTCCAACAAAGTCATACCTTCTCTAAGCCACACCTCCTAATAGTGCCAGTCCCTTTGGGGTCCATTGTCTTTCAAACAACCACAGCAATTTATTTAATGCAACTAGGCTGCAGTTTCCTGTGACATAAAGCTATTCAAGAAAACTATTGGCTAACCCAGTAGATTGAAGTAGAGACCCTGAAATCTGATCAGCCTTACCTTTAGGGTGACTCAGCCTTAGAGCTAGCCTTACTTAGTGGCAAGTAGTGCTTTATTTAGTGGCAGGGCCTAGGCCAGGGAATTGTACTTAAGCTACTTTTAGGGTTCAGAGTTCCTAGAACTTACTGACAAGCAAATACACTCCCCTTTGATATAGTTCATGCTCTAGTCATGTGCAGCTTTTCCGAGGGCTTACTCTGTGTTCTGCTGGACAAGGAAGAGTGCCAGTGTTTTCTTAGTGTTCCTCTTTTTCACTAGTTACTGCTGAGCACACAGCCCATGGCCCATCTTTCCCACCTACTTCTTGAGTTATCTTGGACAATTTGTGTTTCTCTGACACAGATTCTCACTATACAGCCTAGGCTGGCCTTCAACTCAAACCTCCTGTTTTAGCCTCCCACGGACTGGGTTTCCAGGCAAGTGCCATCACACCTAGCTATGTCATTCTTTTTCATTCTAGGACTTCTAGGTTAGCTGATCTATTGGTATATAATAGTTCATAGAATAACCTGGCAGTATTTTTTTCCTATAATATTGGTAGGAAATCCCTGAGTTTTAAGTCCTGATGACATCAGACATTCACTCTTTATATAGCAATTCCATGAATACACTATATATAAGTGGAATATTTCATTCAAATGAAATTCCATTTTCTATCAGGACCGTGGCTTGAGCATCACCTCTTCATGAAGTTTCTGTGATTCCCTCAAGAGTGTGGTGCTACACTACCACCTCTGCTGCCATTACAAATGCCTCCACTTAAGAACTTTACTTCAGCTGGGCAGTGTTGGTGCACACCTTTAATCCCAGTGCTCAGAAGGCAGAGGCAGGTGAATCTCCAAGTTCAAGGCCAGCCTGGTCTAGTTCCAGGAAGACCAGGGCTACATGGAGAAACCATGCCTCTAAAAAAGAAAAAGAAAGAAAAAGAAAAAGGACCTTGTCAGTCAGATGTAACTGTTATCCTAGAATGTGGGACTCAGAAACAGGAAGGTTGCTTTGAGTTTAACTAGGTTACATAAGGAAACTTTAGCTCTTCCTGGGGGGCTTCAATAAGATCTTATCTCAGAAACTGCTTCCTTGATTATCAGTTTAGTTTCCTTATTAACATGAATTCACTGTTTATTGTAAATCTTGTGTGTTCAGTCCTTTTGATTTTATGTGTGTGGTATTTGCCTGTGTTTATATTTGTTTACCACATGTGCCCAGGCTAGAAGAGAGCATTAGATCCCTGGAACTGGAGTTATAGACAGTTGGGAACCATCATATGGGTCCTGGGAATTGAATCAAGGCCCTTTGGAAGAGCAGCCACTCTTAACATCTGAGCCCTCTCTCCAGCCCCTATATCTAGTGCTTTGCTCAGCTCTGGAGATAAAGTGAAATGACAGAGTCTGTCTGATCTCAGGGAATGGATGATAGAAATGATAGAACATTAATAAATAAAAAATCAAGTGATTATGATCATTAAAAGCCATATGAATGAAACAGGGTTGGGAGAGGGAATCACATGAGAACTTCTTAGTAAATATGGTCAGGCAAAGTCTTCTGGCTAGGTTATTTATGAAGTAGCATCAAAGTAGATGAAGAAAACAGATAGCCTTAGTGATGTGATGAGCAGAGCAGATGGAGGAGGGTCTGTGTATATGGTCAGCTGTTGGAATGCACATGTTCTTTTCAAAGAACTGAAACAGAAAGATGAGTAGTTTGGCTATGGAAGAGGGAGACTATACAAGATGCTGCAGAAGCCAGGTATGTTCTTAGGTGGTACCGTGGAAGCCACTTCTGCCTCTATTTAGAGAATGATTTTAGAGGAAGAAATTAATGGGAGCAGATTCTAGAGTAAGTCCTGAGGGCAGAGAGGGAGAGCAAGAGAGAGAGAGAGAAGTTAGGACTATAGAAATGTGGTGACTAAAAAGTCTAAAATTTTCACATGTTGCAAAAAAAAGACAAAGGACAAACTAAGACAGAAATATTGCAGGGCCCATTAATTTTCTTTAATGTAAAAGAAAAGGGTAACTCATGATACGAGCTAACAGTTCACAAAAAAGAAAAGAAAAAGAAAACCCCAAATGGCTGTCATATGTATAGCTTCAGTTTTAAAAGAGGAAATGCAAATCGGCAGATCTCATTTTCTTTTCCCTTTGTTTCTGAGATGAGTCTTGCTATGTTACCCAGGTGGGTCTCAAACTGTGATCCACCTTCCCCAGTCTCCTGAGTAGCCATGACCATAGATAGGTACATGCTATCACATCCTTTAAGTTCTAATTTTTCACAAATTTCCGTAAAGTTGGCTGGGATGCAGTTTACTAGCATTGTTAGCATTCAGGCATCAGTACTGGCCTGCCCTTGGAGTTCTGACAGGATATGACCTCAGCTGCAGCCACTAAGAGCACCATCTGTGCACGTTTACTATGTTCTCTTTAAAAGGGCCCGGCCCACCTCCCATCCTCTCTTTTTCTCTCTCTGTCTGTCTCTCTCTGCCTCTCTTTTCCTCTCTTCCACTGCTCCTGTTCCCAGAGGCTCATCTCCCCACTCCCCTTTCCCTTTTTACAACCCTTTTCCTTTAATAATAATAAAAAAACCCTCTGCTTGAACTCTGTTGTATGGTGTCTTTCCCTCTTGAGCCACTTTTTAAAAATTAGAACAAGCATACAGTATCAGTGAGGTGATAAAGAAACAACTCTCAATAAATTGCTGCTAGTATAAACGGGTGCAAGTTCTACAGGGAATAATTTGTTAGTGTGGTGGATTGAGTGAGAAGGACCTCCGATAGGCTTATATATTTGAATGATTGGGTCCCAGTTGGGGGACTGTTGGAAAACATTAAGAGGGTGTGGCCTTGTTAGTGGAGGTGTGTCACTGGGAGTGGGCTCTGACTAACACCAGGCCCAGGTTATTTATAATACCCAATCCAATGAAATAATGAATACTACATTGCTTAGAGGCTAAGGACAAAAATGTGTGCATTTTCAGTACTAATACAACTTTGTGGGATGAGAGAGAGAGAGAGAGAGTTTTGCATGCACATGGGTGTATGTGCACATGCAGAGGCTAAATGCTAGGGTATGTTCCTCAGTTACTCTCTGTTTTATTCCTTTGAGATGGGGTCTCTCACTGAATTGCCATCTCAACTAGGCAGGCTGGCCAGTGAGCTCTCAGGATTGGTGTATCTCAACTCCCCAATCCTGGGGTTACAGGCATATATTACCATGCCTGGCTTTTTATGTTGATGCTGGGGATTCTAACTTGGGTCCTTGTTCTGGCACAGCAAGCACTGTTGTTACTCATTGAGTCATCTCCCCACACCCTGACACCAGTTTTGTCTAATATTTTCTATCCATGCTTGGTGAAATCCATAGATTCAGAAGCCATGGATACAAAGGGATGACTGTGTAATTAGTTGCCACATTATTAATTATGGTTATTATTATTGATTCTACAAGTACAACCACTATTTTCACTATTAATGTTGCTGTTCTTTGCTTAGCTAGCATTATTATTAATTGCTCACAACTCTTAGTTGCTCAGTGCATGCTTGTGAAAGAAGGAACACATGCACTCTAAACTTCTACACGTCTAGCATGAATTATGATAAGTGCTGGATGATGGGGGAAATGAGCTAGGAGGTTAATTGGTTATGAGATTTGCTCTTAACTTTTCATTTTCTAACTTCCATTCACTGTGCAGGCCTGAGGGCATTGAACGTCAATACAGAAAGAAGTGTGCAAAGTAAGTATCAACAGTGTGGGTTTTTCTGAGCATAAGTAAGTAAAAGCATAATGTGTCAGGAACATAGTCTCTCTTTGGCCTCAGTAATCTCAAAGGCCTACAAATCAAATGCTGATATGCTTTCCAAAGATGCTAGTTAAATTCCATCCCTGACCAGCTGATTGCAGAAGTGAAAGTGAAGGAAATGGGGGCCTTTTTTTTTTTCTTTTGAGGCAGGGTCTTGATATGTGGTTCAGGCTAGCGTTGTGCTTTTGATCTTTGTCCTAGCCTCCCAGGTACTGGGGGTTATAGGCATGCACCACTACACCAGGCAAAATCTTGAGGTTTTAACCTAGTATAATTTGAAAAATGGAGATGTAACATTTCTGCAATAAAATTCACCCATTTAAATAAATCTTCAAGTCGATGAGTTTGGGCAGTAGAATACTGCCCACCACCCTCATGATAGCAAACATTTCCAGCAGTCAGAAGTCCCTAGCAGCCAATCTCCTTCCTTCACACTTCTCCCTGGAGGTCACTACATCATTGCCATTGCTTTCACCTTTCCTAACCCTTTTGGGAAATTCTACATCCAAATACATGTCTTTTGTACCTGGTCTGTCTCTCTCTCCACTTCCCTCTCCCTTTCTCTGCCTTTCCTCCCTCCCTCTGCCTCCCTCCCTGCCTCCCTCCTCTCTCTTCTTTTTTTCCTGCACATGTCCATGGAATAGCATACATGTAGGAATCAAAGGACAACTGGCAGAAGATTATCATCACCTTCTTCCATGTGGGTATTGGGAATCAAACTCGGGTTTTCAGGCTTAGCAACGGGCTCCTTTACCCACTCAGCCATCTTGCTGGCCCTTAGCTGGCCCTTATATCTAGTTTCTCTCAGTTTGATGTTTTAGGGATTCATCCGAGTTGTTATGTGTATCAATCATTTATTTCTCTTTATTACTGTGTATCCCATCTTACTAGTTCATTTACTCATTCACAGTGCTCTTTATTTTGAGCATTTCATTGTATCAGTTTGTTTACCCATTTATAATGAATTTGAATTGCTTGCAGTGTAGGCTGTTACCAGTAAAGTTGCTGTGAGTATTCTAGATAGAACATATATTTTCTTTTGTGGTTGAATTGACTGAGTCAATAGAAAATGTGGCCCAATATAATTTAGTTTTAGACTTAAGTATAAATGTCTTGTATAGACTATAAAGCTAAGATTTTTTTTTTTCATTTTTCGAGACAGGATTTCTCTATGTAGCTTTGGATCCTGTCCTGGGACTTGCTCTGTAGTCCAGACTGGCCTCGAACTCACAGAGATTCACCTGCCTCTGCCTCCTGAGTGCTGGGACATTAAGAATCTAAAAGGATGTTGTTTAAAGGAAAACTTCCAGCTTTAGGCTATTAATAATAAGAATATTAGTGATTTCAATTTTTGCTATTGTTGCTGTTTTGAGACAGGGTCTGTCTGTGTAGCCCTGGCTGTCCTAGACATACTATATAGACCAGGATGGCCTTGAACTCATCTGCTTCTGCCTGCCTCTGGAGTGCTGGAATTAAAGGCCAGCTGTTTTGCATGGCAGGCAGTTAAGTTCAATCTTTACATGAAGACAATTGCACCTTGACTCTCACAAGACTCAGAGTAGGAGCATTAAAGCAGAGGAAAATAAGTAGAAGATAGGAAGACTTTTGAAATTCTTAGCCATACTAGAGTGATGAAGCTGGTTTTTGTCATATCTTGTAGGTCTCCTTTTTAGCTCAAAAAGGGGAATGGTCAGCCAAAGAAAATGGCAGTTGTACAGGATTTATTTTGCCAAACACTGTAGTGGTTCCTGTCCACTTTCTTTGATGCTGTAAAATGAAACAGCTAAATGGACAGAATGCCGAAGCCAGTGCTCAGACACCTGGGAAAAATAGTAGCGGTGTTTGACTACAAAGCCAGTAGTATCATTAGCTAGCATTTCCCAAGTTTTGTCTGATGTGAATAATCATGGGTGCCAATGAAAACAGCAGAGTCTCAGGCCTTACTCACCCCCTACATTTGCTAAACGAGAATCTTCTGGGAGAGACCTAGGAACGGGATAGAAATTTCAACATGTACCCTAATTGATTCTTATCCAGTTCATTAGGGAAAGGGTGAATATTTCATGCCACAAGCAGAACTGTTCCCAGAAACCAAGTCTATTTTGCATTGTGCTTTGGGAGTGCAGAATTAGAGGCTCTCCAGAGATTCATTTGCTCTGCTGTTTGCAGATGTGGACTGCCGCTTTTCTACCAGTCCCAGCCGAAGAATGCTCCTGTGACCTTCATCGTGGATGGAGCAGTAGTGAAATTTGGCCAAGGCTTTGGGAAAACCAATATATATACTCAGAAGCAAGAGCCTCCTAAGAAGGTAATTAGCATCCAAACAAAGACTACTTAATGTACACAGTTAGTCCCAAGTTTAATTAGTGCTGGGAGCAAACCCAGGACTTGTCCATATTAGGTAAGTACAACTGGGCAGTAGCACTGCCCCCTAACTTTTAAAATAAAGATATAATACCTGAGAAACGTTCACTTATAGATGAAATATTTATTAAGAAAATGCCATTGCTGTATACAGGCAGGTATTACAGAACTGTAACATCTATTATTTGCTTTATATACAGTAGTCTCGTGAGGTTAGAAATTATGTGATTTTTATTTTCCTTTAATTCAGTTTTTTTTAGAGTGGGAACAATTAAATCCTCAATGTTTAAAGCCTGATGTTTAAATATACTTTAAATAAACCCTCAGTAGTGTGCTAGAGAGATGACTCAGCCATTGAAGGCTAAGCTCACAACCAAAAATATAAGAATTTGCTTCCCAGAACCCACAGATGTCTCTAGCCACCTTTTGCCAGGTGGTGGTGGCATTCACCTTTAATACCAGCACTCAAGAGGAAGGCAGAGGCAGGTGTATCTCTGAGTTCAAGGCCAACCTGGTCTATAGAGTGAGTTCCAGGACAGCCAGATGTACACAGAGAAACCCTGTCTCAAAAACAACAACAACAAAAGCACAATAGCAAATGTTTTAAAGCACTAACATTTAGATAGTCAGGCTGTCCTTAAAAGGCAGGTGTTCCCATACTCCTCCTGTACACAGACATGCACACAAATGTCCCTGCATACATGACTCATAAATCCTAGTGGGGTGAATTTAGCTTGATACCTGTTCCTTTTGTTCTAGGTTATGATGACCAAACGGACTAAAGACATGGGCAAGTTCAGCTCTGTTACTGTGTCTACCATTGATGAAGAAGAAGAAGAAATAGAGGCTGTAAGAGCTTTTGCTTTCAGGGGAATTGGAATGGGGAGGGGGAGTAAGTGACAGTTCAGGCCTGTGACTCTGGAGGTTTAGGTAGGAGGCTCTCAAGTTTAGGGTCTGCATGTACTTCATAGCAAGATTCAATCTCCAAAACAAATAACATACCAGACTGAATAATTTTCAGTCCCTTCCAGTCTGGCTCTGACAGTTTGGGTCTGTCCTTAGCAGTAACAGCAGTTACTTTTCTAGTGTTTCAAGCCAAGTGTGTTTTTAAGGGAGAGGTGTTATCAAATGATCACCATGGAAACTTGAACTCTCCTGTGTTATTGAGAAGATGGAGAGTTGAAAGTGTAGGGAGGCTTGCTGTTTTGAGTTGCAGTTTTTGGACTTGAGTAGTGTAAATCACTACTGAGGTCTTGATTGTAGTGCCTGGTGAGTGTGTTGGTCTAAAGGTCCTTCATTTTTCCTGTAGAGGGAAGTTGCTGACTCGTATGCACAGAACGCCAAAGTGATTGAAAAACAGCTGGAGCGCAAAGGCATGAGCAAGAGGCGACTGCAAGAGCTGGTGAGTGGCATGGGGAGGAAGGGCACAGGACTCCTGGCTTGGATTTCTTTCTTTGAATGATTTGTAAGACGCTCTTGGGAGTTACTAGTATAGTTGGCTGCCAGCTTCCTCACCCCGGGCTTTGACTGTGTTGGTACACCCTGCTCTGCAGTAGTAACGGGGGTCTAAACACCAAGCTAGAAATCATTTGACAGGCCTGACTAGGGTGATGCCTGAATCTGCTGCTTGTGCTCTGCGGTCAGAAGTTAACTGCTGGGTCATTGAGTGCTCTGCAGGGTATGATAGCGCCTAGTTGTGCTACCTCAGTATAACCAAAATGGAGCTGTCATTGCTTTTAAAGCACTGCTAGTTTTCTGCTTTATCCACGGAATTAACTTATAGCATGAAACCTCTATTGAATTTGTTCTTTGATAATGTCATGTATGTATGTATGTATGTATGTATGTAATGTATGTATGTATGTATATTATTCATTCTGATTGTTCTTACCCCCACTCTTTTATCCTCCTCTCACTCTTGTTCACTAATGATTTCTTGATTTATAGTTTTTTGATTATAATAATTATTATTATTTTATTACTCTCAGACATTACTGCAATGATGCTTCATCAAAATGTCTTCTTTTTAAATTTTCCAGGTTAACACATAAAGTAGTGTCCTTTATGGCATTTCATAAATATGCCTCATTATCTTTGTTATCTTTCTTTCCTTACCTTACCACCTTTCCATGCTCCCTACCCCACAGCCGTCCCGTGCTCCCTACCTCTTCTGGTTGGTTTCCTTGCTTCTTCATGTAGTTTCCCGTCCTCTACTAGTCTGTTTTCTTTTCTTTTTCTTTCTTTTTTTTTTTAAAGACATGATTAGTCCAGGCTGACCTCAAACTTGCTATGCAGCCAAAGCTGGCTTTGAGCTTCTGATCCTCCTGCCTCTAGCTACCTGTTTCTTCGATTACAGGTCTATACTCTGCTTCCCCTTCTGCTGCTTTCTTAACACATGTAGTCCACTGTCTCTGCCTTTCCTTTCCTTTCCTGACCCTCTTTCTAGGTTCATGACTTATACATACATACCCATAAAACTTTATATCTAGCTTTCATGAGCCAGAGTTTTAAGTTGATAAGGATTCTAAAGCCACGTTTGTCTTATACACTGAGCAGTTAAGGGCAAGTGGGATAGTTAGAATAAAGAAGAAATGTTAAGAATTTCATGCGATTGTGATGTATCAGGGCATACTTTTTTTTTCTCCTTTCCAGGCTGAATTGGAAGCCAAGAAAGCAAAAATGAAGGGGACCCTGATCGACAACCAGTTCAAATAATCCAGATCTTTCTGAGTTCAGACTGGAGGCCAGCACTTAGATCAAGACAAAATAGCTTCTTGATTTCATGGTCTAGTTTCTGTGTCCCAGGACAAAGTGTCTGGGAATCCCATTCATTTCCCCCACATTGTTGCTCTTTTCTTTCACTGAAGTCCTTGATTCCATCTTGCTTGCTTCCTAGGAGGTAGATTGTTTTCAAAATCTGCCTAAATAAGTTTTCTGTCTTGTCTTTGAGATAGGTTCTTGTTCCATACTGGACGATGGCCTTGAACTTACGATCTTCTTGTTTTAGCCTCTCCAGTGCTGTAATTACAGGAATGCACCACTGTGCCTGGCTTCTGTACCAGTCCTCTTCATTTGAACTACATTTCTGTGATAAATTTAGGGTTAGATATGCCTCTAGTTTCTAAGGTTTCTTACTTGTTCTTCTTCTTCAAAGCTAATACAGTGTTTAAAGATTTTTGAAAAAAAATATGGTATGGGAAGAAAGTAGCAGGAATTAAATTTAAAATTAATTCCATTTCATTCTTTAAAGGTGGATCCTTTTAAGAGACTCTGCCTCTGTTCTTCGAATTGACTATCGTTTGAATCTTTCTCCTGTCAGTAGAAATCAGTTAGAAACCTTAATCTGCAGAAATATTTCTTTACTTAAAGTAGTAGAGTTATAGGTGAGCCATGCCATATCAAACTTCAGAGTTAAATAAGGAAAAGCCATGTATGTGGCTGGGGGTGTAGCTTGGTAGTGGAGTGCATGCTTGGCATGTGTGAGGACATCCCCAGCACAAAAAAAAAAAAAGAAAGAAAGAAAGCAAGCAAGCAAGAAAGAAAGAAAGCAAGCAAGAGAGAGAGAGAGAAAGAAAGAAAGAAAGAAAGAAAGAAAGAAAGAAAGAAAGAAAGAAAAGAAAGAAGAAAAAAGAAAAAAAAGAGCCAGATTGCAGATGCAGGGGTAGGATAGCTCAGGTCTAAATTAAAATATGGCCTTGCTAAGTAACCCAAAGGAGTTAGTCAGTCAGCTGGGAGAATTACTGTGTGAGTATACAGGAAGTCAGCTGGGAGAATTACTGTGTGAGTATACAGGAGGGGGCATAGTGAAAGAAGATTATCTGTTGGGTGTCTTCTTTTACATTTGCTATTTGCAGACAGTTTTAAGTGTGTCACTGCTTCAGTGACGTCAATATCCACGTGGTTCTTCCCATATTCTTATCTGTTTGCCTATATTGCAAGGCATGAGGAAACATGGAGTGTGGTGCCCTCTTCGTGTTATCTATGACCAATTGCACTTTTTAAGCCCCCAAGGCTGTTTGTAAGGTGCTACCAGAAGTAATTTTCTTTGCCTTTTTTCTGATTTTATTACTTGCAGGGAAAAATAGGTAGGGGAGTAGAGGTACAGTTGAGCTAGCAAAAACTGGGCCAAAGAGGATTGGGGATCCTGGGAATGTGCAGAGGGGTGTTGTTACTATCTTTCCAGTTATTCTGCAGCCAGTAAGTAGGGTCTTTCTGTGGCTAATTCTTCTTCGCCTCGTTTCCTGTCCTAGTTGTGAGACAGAATTAACATTGTATGAATGACCAACTATGTCCAGCAGACATGACCTCTACCTTTATTCCACCTTATCCCCAAATTCCTATGTGCACAGCTTGGATATACCTACACCACTTTGGAAATTCAGGCTTCTAGTCTCTGGCCACAGCTGCCGATTATTGCTAGTCTCATGTACTTACTTCTTGTAGACCTTTTTAGGTGTGTTTATAGATTTGAGGGGTGCTTATTTTCTTAGTAATAATTAAACATAATAGTAGTAATAGCAACATTAATACTCGTTACTCTCCCCTGAGTAGCTGGTGTGTGTCAGATGCTGTGGAAAGCACTTTAGAGGTATTAGCTCACTCTAACAATACCTCCTCTGAGATATGTTAGCTGTTGTCATCACCATTTTCCAATGAGTACTCCTGAAGCTCAGACTTCCCCAAGAGCTACTAGCCGGGAATTGGTAAAGCCAAAATCTGACTTTAAAAATTCAAACTCTTTGCTAGGCTGAACTGCTTCTCCTGTGGAATCTTTCTTTATATGTGTATAGTTAGATCAGAACATAATTTCATTTTGAAAACCAAGTGAAGTGCAATGTAAAAATATTCAGCTAGAGAACCCCCTAGAGCAATTCTGTGGTTATACTTCTACATATTTTCTGAAATATTTGCTCTTAGATAAATGCCAACCATTTCAACATCTGGCTCAAGTTACACATTTTGCTTCCTCTAAAGATTGTGAAATATCAAGTCCTTAGTATTGAGTGAGCGTGTACCTTTCTTTATATTTTACTCTGTTATTGAGAATTTAAAACAATATGATGTACATTCTCTTAATTTCTAGTGTTTTTATAGCAAATGTGTTTTAATGTTAATAAAAAGAGCCATATTGAAATTTTGGAAAGTCATACTCTCTTTTTGCAAATGATCTACTGTGGCAAAAATATGAAAATGTTGCGAAATGTTCTCACTCTAATAATTGGTGACATTTGGGTAATTGTAACTGTCACTTAAGGAAAATTGAAAAGCTTTTTAAAGACTAAACTGTCTTGTGGAGGGTGCTGGCATGTGTGTCCAGTTCTAACACTTAGGATAATTTTTATTCAGGAGTTCAAGACCAACCTAGGCACCCTAGCAAGCAAGACTCCAAACAAAATGTAAAATAATGTAAATAATAGAATGGAATAAACTAAACCAGCTTGATTTGAACATCTTAAGATTCATATTGCCATGGACCATATGTCCTTAGTCTCCTCTGATTTGTGCATTTCTCAGGGGTATATACTGATTTTCATTTAATTTTCCTAATGATAGATGATATTGAACATACTTTATTACAGTTTTTAAAAATGTTTATTAACCATATTTTTTTTGTTTGAGATGGGGTCTCATGTAGTGGCTGGCTGTTAGTTTTACTTTTAGATTTTTGAAACAGGATCTTATATAACCCAAGCTAACAGTATCAAATTCCCTGTGTACCAGAGGCTGACCTTGAACTTCCGCATGTGGGGATTACATGGTTAGTGTGTTTTATTCTTGGTGGGTTTACTAAGGTCTTTTTTTGTTTGTTTTGAGACAGGGTTTCTCTGTGGCTTTGGAGCCTGTCCTGGGACACGCTCTGTAGACCAGGCTGGCCTCAAACAGAGATCTGCCTGCCTCTGCCTCCCGAGTGCTGGGATTAAGGGCACCACTGCCCGGCTTTTAAGATCTTTTAAGTTTTATTTTATGTGTATGAGCATTTTGCCTGCATATATGTATGTGTATCACATGTGCCTGATTTCCTGTAGAGGTCAAAAGAGGGCATGAGATTCCCTTGGAACTTGAGGCATGGGTGGGTGCTGGGAATGGAAGCAGTCTCTCCAGCCTCTGTCTTTAGAAACAGAAAATCTGATGGCTGTGGGATTTTTATTCTTTTGCTACTAGCAAAGATTGAATCTAATATCTAATATGGCTGCTGGTCAAGTGCTCTACCACTGACATGTTTCTCCCAGCAGTGACTTTGAACTGTCTTGCCTGCACCTCCCAAGTGCTAGGAATACAGACTTGGGCTACCGTGTCCAATTTCTCTAACCATTATTATTTGTTGTTCGTTTGAGACACGGTCTCACTATGTAGCTCTGGCTGTCCTGGAACTCACTATGTAGGCCAAGCTGGCCTTAGACTCACAGAGATCCACCTGCCTCTGCTACCCAGGTGCTGGGATTAAAGGCGTGTATCACCACGCCTGGCTCTCTAACCATTTATAAGTACCTAGTTGAATAGTGTTAATTTGCATCACCATGATACAATCTGGAGAATTTTTCATCGTCTAGATTGGAAACTACATTGAGCAAACCCCTCCATTCCCACTTTCCTAAGCCCTGGTAACCACCATTGTTGTTTCTGCTCCAGTGAATCAGTCTAATTCAGATACTTCATGGAAGTGGACTCATACAACGCTTTTCTATTCACGAGGGTCTTATTTCACAATGTGTGAGTCCTCAGTGTTTATCCATGCATATTTAAATTCCTTTCCCTTTTAAAGTATAATAATTCCCTAGCATGTATGTGGCACATTTTATTGATTCACTCGTTGTCAGTAGACTGCTATTTGGATAGTGCTGCAGTGAACATGGCTGTGTAAAAATAGCTTTTGGACATCCTAGTTGCAATTGTTTAGGTAAGATTGTTTTAGGGTTTTGTGGGGTTTTTTTGGGGGGGAGGCTGTTTTGTTTTTGTAGTGAGCATTGGATCTTGGATCTTCACATGCTATATAAGTACTCTATCATTTAACTATATCCCTAGCCCTATACTTTTTTTTGAAGAATTTTTTTTGAGCCAGGCAGTGGTGGTATACATCTTTAATCATCCCAGCACTGGGGAGGCAGGGGCAGGTGGGTCTCTGTGAGTTCGAGGCCAGCCTGATCTACAGAGTGAGTGCCTGGATAGGCTCCAAAGCTACACAGAGATACCCTGTCTCGAAAAACAAAAAAGAAAAAAATTTTGACAATGGGATTTTGTTAGCTCAATCAGACCTTGAATGCTGCTTTTTTTTTTTTTCTTTTTTGCCTCCCAAGGAGCTAGGATTATAGACTGGAACCACAAGGTCTGGCTTTTTGTAATTTTTCCAGGAGATTTTGTTCTTGTTTTCCTTAGCTGTTCTATGTACTTTTTCAAAATCTATAAGGGCTCAAATTTCTCTGTATTGAAATTGCATTGTAATTTTATTGCATTTCTTCCGTGACTGGTGATGTTGACTGTCTTTTAATAGACTTGTGGCCTTTAAGACAGCATCCTTAGAGAAATGTTTTTATGCAAGAGCTTTTTCAATTTGAATTGGTTTCTTTTTTTGCTACAAACATATGTGTATGTTAATTTTCCATCTGTGTATCTTTGGTAAAGTGTGTATTCCGCTCTTCTGATTTTTTTAGTTTAGAATTTATTTTGTTTTATTTATTTGTGTTTTTGGTTTTCAAGACATGGTTTCTTTGTGTAGCCCTAGCTGTCATGGAACTAGCTCTGTAGTCCAGGCTGGCCTTGAACTCAGAGATCCAAGGTGTATAACATCATATAATTTATCACTTTCATTTTATTTAAAAATTTTTGCAACCTGGAGGTAGTGGCACATGCCTGTAATCCCAGCACTTGGGGGGGGGGTGGGCAGAGCCAGCCAGATCTCTATGAGTTTGAAACCAGCCTGGTCTACAGATCAAGTTCCAGGACAGCCAGGGCTGTTACACAGAGAAACCCTGTCTGGGGGTGGGGGCTGCATGTTTCAGAGATGACCATTTCGTATTGGATGACCAACTGGTAATGCTTTTCCCTGTGGGAAGTGAATAAATGCCATTTTCTTTTTTTAAAATATTTCAGCATTCAAGCTGATCAGTCGGTGGTGGTGCATGCCTTTAATCCCAGCACTTGGGAGGCAGAGGCAGGCAGATCTCTGTGAGGTAGAGGCCAGCATATTCTATAAGAGTTAGTTCCAGGACAGCTTCAAAAGCCACAGAGAAACCGTTTCTTGAAAAATAAAAAATACAAGCAAAAAAAAAAAATCAGCATTCCTTAGTTGCCTGTACTTCTTTGTGTAGAGTTCAGGCCTCGTGGACTTTCCTTTGTCCACTTTAGCATGTCTATTATTCTTGTCCTTGTTCAGCCCATGTTATAATCACAAACTAAAAGAAGTAATAAAAAACTTTCAAAAATTACAGTGCTAGGGATTGATCCTCAGTCCTTTCACATTCTACACAAGCAGTCTACCACTAAACTATATCCCTAGATCCCCTGATTCATGTTTTCTTTTACCATTATTTTTAATTATGTGTATGCATGTGTGCTTGTGTGTGGGTATGCCACATGTATGTAAGTGCTTGTGGAGGGCAAAGGTGTTGGATACCCTGAAGTTACAGGCTGTTGTGAGCTGCTAGTTGTGGGTGCTGGGTCTCAAACTCTGTCCTTTGAGTGATGAGTAATCTTAACTGCTGAGCCATCTCTGAAGTCCTTACTCATCCTTTAAAGTAATAGCTGCAAAGTGGAGAATGGCTTGTAGGGAAGCAAGAACAGAAGCAGGGAGGCCAGTTATTACATATCTTGGCAATCCTATATGAGGTAACAGTAAGGAGGCCAGGTGGTGGTGGTGCACGCCTTTAATCCCAGCACTCAGGAGGCAGAGGCAGACCAGCCCAGTCTACAGAGCGAGGTTCAGGACAGGCTCCAAAGCTACAGAGAAACCCTGTCTCAACCACCCCACCCCACCCCCGCAAAAAAACAGGGAAAAATTGGAGAAAGGAAAGTGAGTGCATTTGAGAAGTGGCTTGGGGAGGGGTGGCTAACAAGGCTAGCTTCTGGATGATATGTGTGAAATGAGGGGAAGAAAAGAATCAAGGATAGCTCCTTGAATTATAGCTACAATCATCGAGTGAATAAGTTTCATTTTCTTTTTAAAAGTCTCTCTGTGTGTGTGGGGGGGTTGCCATTGTGTGTGCATGTGAGGGTCAGAGGGAAATTTTGTGGAGTCAGTTCTTTCCTTCCACCGTGTGAGCTCCTGGGTATGGAACTCAGGTCAACAGACTTACACAGCAAGTGTCTTTCCCCACTGGGCTGTCTTGCCAGACCAGAAGTGCCTTTTTCTAGGATGGAGAGGAACAGCTTTGTGAGAAAGCCAGGGACTATGTATTGGACATACTTCTGACATGTTTATGGGCTATCTAAGTAGAGATGTCAGATAAACAGTTAAATGTTGAATTAGTCAGATATTTTGTCACCAGGAGCAAAAGCCGAAGAGAAACAATTTTAAAGGAGCTTACTTACAGGCTGGTCATTAGCCTCCATTGGTTTTGGGCCTGAACCGGGACAGAAAACCATAGGCGAAGTGGAGGGGCAGAGCTGCTCATCTTGTTACATGCAGGAAACAGTATGAGGGAGGGGCAAGGCACAACCCCAAGAACATGCTGCCAGTGACCTTTTCCCTCTAACTGCCATTACCTTCCTATCGGAAGATCTATTACTACCCAATTTTAAAACATACCAATGGATGTAACACACATGGTCCATTTGTCTCTGACCTTACAGACACGGCCATGGGGATGTTGACTAATCTTTCAAGTATCTTTCAGTCTAATTGTTGACAGCCAAGATTAATTATAACAGAGATATAATTTTTCAGCCCAGTTGTGGAAGATTTGCTACAGATGTAAGTTTGGAAATTGTCTAAGACTGGAGGCATAGCTCAGAAGTTCAGAGGGCCTAGGTTCAGTTCTCACCAGCTATACAACAGTTCTCTGGTTCCAGGAGGTCTGATAGCTTCTTCTGGCCTCCACAGGTACTAGGCACTACACATGTACCCAAGTACACATGTGACACACACATAAAATAAAAAAATAATTGGAAGTTCTCAATGTGTAGATGCTAATTAAAACCACAAAACAGGTTGAGGTTGCCAAAGATACAAGTATAAAGGTACACATCTCTAATCCCGGAATTTGGGATACAAGAGGCAGGTGGATCTCTGTGAGTTGAGGCCAGCCTGGTCTATAGAGGGAGTTCCAGGACAGCCTCCAAAGCTACAGAGAATCCCTGTCTGGAAAAACAAAAACCGAAACCAAAAAGGTATAGTTAGCAAAGAGAATAGGGCCCAGAGACTTGAGTGTTTGGTCAGAAGCTGTGACTAAGGTTGGAAGATGGATGTTGGCACAGGATTAGGGACTACTTGATACAAAAGAAATGCCAGTCCACTTGGAAG